AAGCCACTTTACGTCCGACGCGTAACAAATTACACCAATGAAATAATGGAATACTTTAAGAATATTCAGGCGCGCGACATTCTATGCAGGAACTGAGGGCATGACTACATCCTGACTCGCTGGCGCAACAGGAGATGCATCGTCGTCCTCGCCAAATATATCCAAGAAACCAGCCACTCGCGCCTTGTTTCCAGCCCTTTTGGTGACATACTCTCGCAGGCCAGACTTTAGACTCGGTTGCTTGTCGACAAGTTCACGAAGCTGCTCCTTGGGAAGTTGCAACAATGCGCCAAAGCTCGCAGGCGCAATAACCTTGGCGCATCGTATAAACCCTTCCCACAAGTGAGGATTTTGCCAAATTTTTTTGGTGATCAGGCGAGACAACAATGTGGTAGACACGAAGCCAACCAACGTTCTATACGTCGTGACGGCCTGGATGACCTATTTGGCCGTTAATTACAGCAAATGTAAATAGAGAGATCCACGCACCGTACGAAGAAAGAGAACGGGAAGCACAGGTTCATCCACAATCTGTTGCATAACCACCGCTAGAATTTCGGAGCGGAAGACATCAGTCATTGAAAAGCAGACACCAATTGCTGCACCACAATAGTTCAGTAGGCGGCCAGCGAGAGAACGTCATTGTTACCTTCAATCGCGCTCTTAAGACCGATTTCTTTCTCAGCTTCATGGAGTAACACCATTAACTCAGCCGGCGTCAGCAGCTCACTTTGCCTCACACGAGGCAAATTTGATGATACGCTCCCAAAGGTTTGTGGAGGCGTCGTGACAACGGAGCTGAATACAGATCGAACCAGATTTTTGGGCTCTTGCTGACCATTCAAAATGGAGACAATTCGTGGCAGGTATTTCAGGATGTCCGACTTTCAATAACTGCATTTAGCAAGGCCACAATCGACTTCCACGAAGACATACCTTGTCCATCTCTGCGATGATTGGAATCAGGAAACGAGCATCGAGATCACGGTCACTAATGAGACCCTTCACCAACGCTACGAGTTGCGCGCTCGGTCTCCCATGCTCTGTAAAGATTGTTAAAACACGTAGGGCAAGAGATTCACTCCCCGGCGGGCATGTGCGCATGAGGGTTAACAATTTGCCATTGCTTGAACCTAAAGATTTGATCAGAGCAGTGATCAAGTCTTGAATGGCTTCTTGAACTGTTAATTCCATTTGGCCATACGCCGTGAAGATCCTGAAAAAGCATGAATTAAGAACTGCGATTATAAATCAGGATAGACTTACTCATCCAAGAACTCAGGGATTTTGACAGATAGAGCGAATAGGAGTTCAACGTGTTGGAGCACGTGAGCCTTCCGGGCGGGTAATTCTATCTCTTCTGGTAGATACGGCGTCTGCAGAAGGTCCTCGGAGGGAAGTTGGCCATCTTCCATATTTTCGTCGCTTGTGCCGGCTTGTTCATTAATTATCTTTGGCGCCTCCTCTTTTGATGGACGCTTTTGCAAGCGGCGCAGTATTTGAAGAGCGAAATCACGTATCATACTATCCATGGGTTCAATACCAGGAACCCATCTTCGTACGGTATTAATTGCTGCTCGCCTGGTCACAGGATCTGCAAGAGATTGAAATCGGGGTTTATATATAAAAATTTGACGTACCTGGATGAGTAGTCAACTCCAGAAGGACCTGCAGGGCTTCTGCTCGGAGTGATGGACGCTCTAAAACAAACTCCCGCAGACTGGTGAACCCAACATGCATCCTGTTGATTGCTCGTATCAAATTAAGTCAAAGAATACACGAACGTACTTGTCAGGGTCAACGGAGAGATCGCGTAACAGACCGAGGACATCAGGGGGCACGGAGGGTAAATCCAGTAGAAACCGCGCAAATGCTTTGTCCCTGCCATCGGGCTTACCCTCAGGCTTGCCTTCCAAAACAGTCTGATATGTGGAAACTACTTGATTGAGCCACAATTCATAGTTTGGTCGCTAGAAAGCTTGCCGTTGGCCAAATATAACCAGAGAGAACAAATGCATAGTACGCACCCAGTGAGGGTCGTCTGCCATTCTGATACGATCGTTGTACCATTCTTCGTTCATCCATGTCGTGACAAGATGGAGCCTTCATTACCGTCAGTAAATAAATTCGTGATCATGCAATATCAAGATCATACCGTGAAGGGAAATCAGCCATAATGTAATCGCATAACGTTTGTCGTAAATTATCTTGCCGCGAATAGAAGTCAACTTTTGTTTCGCCATCCCCTCCATCTTCTGGCACTGGCGGTGCGTCAACATCAAGATGCGCCACCCGTGTGACCATCCGAACAATAAGTAGCATCCACATATCAGTAGGAGAGGCATCGGGCCATTGCGAGGGTACGGCGGAATCAACCTTAAGCTCCTCCGCTCCATCCCATATTCGGCCGACCGATCCACGCATCAAAGCATTCCGTTCAACGTCAGTCAATTCTTTTGGTCCGAGTAGTGTAGAATCGATGAGATCAAGGGTGAGCGCTTGCGGGAGATCCGCCGGAATTGTTTCTTCCTCCGCGATAGCCTCGTCACCCGAAAGCTACGGCATAAAATTAATTGCAATCAGCGTACGTCACATGTAGGTAAAATACTCTAACCTCCATATTGAGCCTATCAGGCTCGTATTCCATTTCCTCCTCGTCCATGTCCATTTGAAGTGGATCTACTGGCTCATCTTTCACAGCAGGTTCCACAGGAGGCCCGGGGGTGGGCGTCGCTTCCGGCGTAGGTTGAGCGGGTTGCGGAGTCCTAGGGACAGGAGGGCCAGGAGCCAGGCCTCTGCTTTGTCTGTAGGTTTGTACCAACTCCAATAGGGCTGGTTCGGTGAATGCCTGCAGATTGGCAACAATGAGATCGGTTATGAGCGATATTGGAAGTGTGGTGAAGTCAAAGCTAGCTAAGAACGCAGCGGACGCGTTTCCAGCAATGTCAACGTCGACTCTCATACGTTTAGCATCAGATGGATGCTCTGCTGGTGTGGAAGAAGGTCGTTTCTTGCTAGCTTCTGTTGTAGACGTAGCAAGGGCAGCCTTTCGTGCCTTTTCCTCTACGGAGGCTCTTTCCATGCGGGCAGCTTGTAGTGAGAGCGCCTCGTTAATCTGAGCTCCAAAGGAAGAGCCATGGGGTCCTCTATGCTCGACTTCAGTACATCTGGCTTTATACCACCATGACGTTACTCACCTCGAGATATGGATGAGCAATATACGAACAGCCTTTTCCACGCTTTTGATAGATTGTGCTGGCAATCCAGACATAGCGGCAGGAGTCCAAGAAGATAGCGACGAAACGACTAGTTGTACTAGGGCGGGTCTTTGCTTGACTAAATTGCTCCAGGAGTGAAGTATCGCGCTCAAAAGCTCAGGGTTCCTTATGACAGGCGTTAGATGTGCGAGTCTTTACGGACATTAGATGAAGATGCTCACTGGTTGGTATACAACATAGTGATCACGCTCTCAAGAAGTTTCATGCCTTCCGCTTCCAAGGCAGGGCCTGGAAGGAAGGGATGATCAGCAGGGACGTTTGAAATGTTGGGGTCATTCTTGTTCTGAAGCTATATGATAGAATGTGTGGCATAGTGAGCGCATGTGTGAAGGAGAGGCTGGCGGAAAGGGTACCCTAGGGTCCGAAATACCGCGCGTCTGGACAATAATGACACGCTGCATGAACTTAATGGCGGAGACCTTCACACCGGTGCTAGCAGTCGGCGACCAAATAAACTCTAGGATGCGCGTTTTGCACTGTGACAACACATCCCATTGTTGGCGTAGGGTACGGTTTGAACACCTGTCACACGAGGTAATATTAGACCTTTTGTGAACTCCGGCAAGAGATGTGACTCACAAAGAACGGAAAAGAAGTGGGTAGACAGTCGTCAAACATTGAATGGACACCTTGACAGTACGCGCATTTAAATCATGCAGCAAAATGGCGAGCGTTTCGACCGACTGAGACGCGACTATGAAGTGATAACATTAAAAGACTTAGACGCTGGCAGTACTTAGAGATTGAACTAACGTTGTGTGCGAACTTCGTTGGACAGATTAGAGCGAGAGATAGCATAATGGAGGAGATCAAGAACCCATCTCTTGAGGAGAGAATCACCAGCACTTGACACAGTTTTGATGAGCGTTGTACAGAGGATGGGTATGGGATTTGGGTGCGCTTCAAGGGATTCACGTAAAGTAGCAAGTATATCTGCTTGTTCTTTTGAGTCTGCCGGTACTGCTAACGCTGCAGAAAGTGTCTGCAGCGGGTCAACCGGATTTCCTGCCATCCTTGTAAGCTTTGGTGTTTGCAACGTTAAAGCTTGTCTGCAGCTCTTCCTGAAAACTATATCCTGTCGGAGTTTCAAATCACCCTTCTACCACAATCATGGTATGGCGATGAGCAAGTGTATGACAGTAGACTCACAAATGATTATAGGCAGCTCAAAATTCGCAGGGAATACAGACGCTTCTTGAAGCAGAGAAAGAAGCTGCCAAGATTGTGCAGCAGTCACGTCAATGTCGGTGTCAGTCTGAATCGACTTCATGTGACTGACTGTCTCAACCAGACCGCCTTCAGAGATTGAAGGACGCCCGCTCGGAAGCAAGCAGAGAAATAGATGAATACAGACAAGCCAAAGAAGCCGAATTCAAGTCATTTGAGGCATCGGTGTGACATCCGCTCTCTCTTCACTCACGCACAGCCTAACATAATGGGCAGCACGCAGGAGTCACCTCCAATGCACAAGCTGCCGTAGACAAGGAGACTAGTATAAAGTTGCAGGCTATCACAGACGCTTATGAGGCAAACAAAGATGCGGTCGTGAAGAAACTACTGGACCGCGTTCTATTGATCACGCCCGAGCTGCATCGGAACCTCAAGAGGGTCGGTGGTGTAGAATTGTTGTGATCAACTTCATTGCTATGGACTTGACTTGTACAATACTACATTGGGTGCTTCATGAGCAATAATACCCTCAATCTAATAATTAAAGGTTCGTACGAATTATCGAATAAATATCAAGGAACGACAAGATTGCAAGGTGCAGACCAAAATAGGTGACAGGTGGTGATAATGAATGGAATCAAATGCTCAAGAACCTAGGCAGCACAGTTATGCTAGCTTGACCTAGAAACTGTCGACTCGCTGGCCAGCCACGGTAAACCGACAGGCATGCTGGTTGAAGCCGTGGCCACCGCAGACCGAGTAGAGTAATCTACGTGTGAGGCTGAAGGGAAGGTTGACCCAGTTGCGTCTCGTGAGCTCTGGCTAGGGGCTGGGATATGTTGCCCGGATGCTTGCCAACTTGCTGACGAAGGTGATGGAATGCCTTCATTGGCTCGTTGCCAATCTAAAAGACCGCTCGACTTCAGTGAGGGTAACGATAGTGCCGGGGATACGGCAGGGACTGGCTCCGTTATCATATGTCTGGGATTTGGTGGCATTTGCAAGGCAGGATCGATATTGGCATCATGCGGAATATTTCTCTTCTCTCTGGGATCAGGTTGTGGTGGAAGAGGCGGATGCGCATGTGCTCGAACATCACCAAAAGAAGGTTGACCGAAGAACCGGGCATCAGGAGGTGGGCGCCCCGGCGGTGCATATACCGGAGATGCAGCTATTTGAGGTGTCACGATCTCCAATGAATTACTAGAAACGGGTGTAGAGCCATGAGATCCGCCAGAGCTGGAAACTACTGGAAGCATGTCTTCCGCGGGTTGTACGTCGTCGGTGTAGTCAGGTGCCGGTGTAGCCAAGTCGTGGATACGAACACCAAACACTTCTTCAACCGCACTAGACAATTCCAAAAATCTTGGACTATTGTCTTGACAATATTTGGACAAGGGCTGTGAGAACGATGAGTGTGAGATGATTGAGAACATTTAGAAAGCATACCCAAATTGCAATTGCCACTATAGATGTGTGTCATTAGTGAAACGCCCATCAGAACACAATCATATCATAACACCCACGGATGATAGTTTTTTTCGCTCTGCCACCTAAAGCAGCGATAATCTTGTTCAGGCGCTCGTGCGCCCACGTTGGACCTCCAGGCATACCCGTACGGCAACGCTTCCTAGCCTACACAAAGTATTGCCATTTCCGTCATCCTGTCAGCGTTTGAAAACTTAAGTCGATATCAAGATAACCCACCTGATTCAATGCAAAAACACACGAGCAGTGGATGATGTGCATAGCACAAAAGCACCACGCTCCCACGTTGGAACTCGTGGCAAACAATGACATTTGAATAGCAAGATTCTCGTCGGTGAAACAAAGACTGTCAGGAAGCGATCCGTCCCACGCCTTCGGAAGCGATCAATATAGATCTGTAGGTATGAACCCTAGAATTTCATCCTTACGTTAAGTTTAGCGTCAAGATCCAACAGTGTGTTGACCGTGACGGGATGTCTGCCGGACTCGCGTTCTAAAAATGAAATCGAATGAGGACAAGCGAGCTCCCGCGAAGCAATAATACTCACCGTTGAACACATCCATGGTTCTCTCTATCTTCTCGTGTATAGATAGGACCCGAATTAGCTGCCCGGTCTCGGATCTCGATGAAGAACTGGGGTTGTCCAGATATTCTTGACGAATCAAATGAGCTCAAGGCTGAAACGATGGCTTGGCGACTAACCTGGGACAGCGTCATGTACGGTGAACAAGAAGGTCGTTTCATCCACAGGGAGACGCAATTTTAATTGCGCTTCATCTGCCAACATAGGTCGTTGGTAGAGAACAGACCCCATAGTATCGCATATGTATATGAGCCAGAAAATACGACGCGCGCATTCTCGTTCGATGGACGCATCAATAAACTCCAGAGAAGGAGTAGGTGTCAAGATCGGATTATCAGCCTTATACACGCCTAGCTGTTCAATGACCTCAAGTGCATATACTGGCAAAGTACACGCGTAAGCGCCGACAACCCCGTAAATGGCAACTTTCCATACCATGATAATTCCCTCTCCAGGATGACTTGGCCATTCGGTCATGCAACTGCAGAAGACATAGAGCCTGTGCAGTTGCAAGATTCCTCTCACAAATTAAGTTTTGGTCTTTATCAAACATAAGCGACATTGCCTCTTGGAAGAATACTTCTCCAGCAAATCTGGAGCCCCTTTCCTTGAAACAAGGACGCTGCGAGAGTGGTGCGGCAAGAGCGCATACCGAAAGGAGAAGATGAGGAGGGACGAGACCATGAGATAGTGCATGATGGAATGAAGGCTCGTGGATGATCATACGCTGAGGTTGGCGGTCTGCAAAGAATACTGCTCCGGCGTATCAATTAGTGTCAGCAGTGTACCGCTCTATGAGGTAACTTACGGTGCACGAGTTCTCTTGTGAGTGACGGGTCACGCTCCAAAGAGCGCTGAGTGGTTGGCAATGACGGCGGAGCTAAACCTCTCAAAGACGTCTCGATAGGAGATGCCGACTGACCAAGGTCTGGCCTGAACCGCTTGCGCGGTAGAACATCTTCATCAGGGTCGACTTGGGTTCCAAGGGCCTCGTCTTGCTGTAGTGCATGGACAACGAAGGATGGTTGGTTACCCTGGGCACCGTCTGGGTATGTTGCGCATGAACCCTGACGCGGATCGGGTGGTACGTTTGTGTTATTCCCTTTGCGTGGCCTAGGTGCAGGTACAGGTCTGCCCGAAGCATCTGTGTACGTGCATTTCTTAGAGGCGAAGTAACTAAAAACATGAATGAAACGATGGATTTGGAAACATCCTAACGTTTTTTTGGATGACATACCAGTTGCTGCAAGGAGCTGAAACCCAGGAAGTCAGAATTGGCATAGCATGAAGGTTGTTGTTATAGAAGACAGCGTACCTGTTCCATCGCATCGTCGTTTGCTTTTATGGCAAGCATCGCACGCCTGCGTAGAAAGATGCTTGGTACGCATCCTAGACGAGTTTAAGGGTGCATACCTTTGCTAGACGTTTGCGCTTTGGACCTTTCATAAACGCAATATTAGTGTCCGTCCTATCAGGATCCTGGGAAGTGTCGATGAGAAAGCGGGCACCATCTGGAGGGGGCTGGTTTGGGGGAGCAAAAGTGATCGCCTGTATCGCTGGTTGCTGAAGAGAGCGAGGGAAGTGGTCCATTAAAAGACAAATAATATGGGAGTGATTATGCCAGACGACGAGGCGACATGCACGGGGAGTGAAGAGGAAAGAGGATTAAGCGGCTAGAGGAAGACGGAAAGAGGAGATGAGTTTGACTTGGTTGTTGAAGTTATTAAAAGGAGAGATACATGACCCAGCAAGTTGAAATGAGAAATTTGAAAGAAATAATTTAAAAGATAACTAACCTAGACAGATAATAGTTAGTGTGAAGAGATTGTAAACCGTGGAACGGTAAGGTAGACCCACAAACCGTTCACGGCAGTTCGAGGAAGCCTTGCAATAAACCGATCAGTCAATACAAATCTAGCCAACCCGCCGGCCGCATCCGGCTTTTCCCACTTCCTCGCGCCGCCGGCTTAGTTACAATGTCCGATCAAGTCACATTATATTACATTACATAATATACGGTCACGAAGAAGGGCCCCACCAATTAAACTCGCGCCAGGTAGGTTTCGGCGGCTTTCCATACGTGCCTGCCGCCGGTCATTAGATAATAATTTCGACACCAACAATTCCGGCGGCCATTAGCACCGCAACGCTGCCTGATCGCAATGTATTTTCTGATTCGAACGTTCCAACCGAATTCCTCATTATTACGATGCGTACAGGAACAACATTTCGTAACGTATTTAGTCGAAGAGACCGAAGCCCATGTCGTCGTCGGATTCCTCCTATATAATGAATGTCAAGGTTTAATTCTCGCTCCCAAAAATGCACAATGATAGGACTAACCTTCTCCTCCTTCTTTTCTTCCTTTTTCTCCTCCTCGACGGCAGCGGCAGGTGCTGCACCGCCGGCTGATGGAGCGGCGGCGGCAACGGCGCCACCAGAAGGAACCTAAGCATTGTAACCAATCAGCTCCTGCTACTCGTATATAACCTGATCGAGACTTACGGACGACAGCTTAGCAGAACCCTCAGCAATCAACTGCGCACAAACACGTCAAAAATGGGCGCAGTGAGGTATAATCGGGAAAAAAATCTTACAGCATTGATGTCCTTGCCCTCCAGCTCGGAGATAAGTTTTTCGAGCCTGTCCTCATCGGCTTCTATCCCGACAGCACTCAACACCTTCTTGACTTCGTCAGCTGAGGGAGAGGCATTGCCGCCAATTTGGAGGAGAAGATAAGCAGCAATGTGACGCATCTGTTCAAATCACAGAAATTAGCGTGTCATACAGCGTGTCATACCCGAGGCGTACTTTAGACGAGTGTTAATTCACAAAAATATGTATAGGACGGGATTGCGGGCAGCTACAAATCACTAAAAAAGACACATTTAACATTCCACTCAAGCCCCATACAGAAACATAAATAATACCTTTAATCCTCAAGGGAAGACCTGTAGATTCTATCCGACGACGTTGATGATATTGTTCCCCTCTCAGCTGCCAAACTTCAGATTGGTACTATACAGCACCACGTGGCTAAATTCAGCCACAATTTCTATATTTGATTGTTTCCGACTCCGCCTCAGGATTGCCGAAATCCTTGCTCGCTGTTATCCACGACAACCGCAAGACTAATTCACGACGCAACATGGTGCGCATTGTCCTTCGGGAGTAGCAAGACAACCGAGTGCTGATTTCTGCCCGAATGATAGGCGGATTCATCGGTTACTGATCCCTCGCTCGCTGCTGAGCTCAAGAAGAAGAGAACCTTCCGCACATTCTCCTACCGTGGAGTTGACCTTGACAAGCTCCTTGACATGAACAATGAGGAGGTGAGTATTTACCGCGGACCCCTTTATTCTCTGCGCTAAACCTTGAATTTACAGTTCGTTGAAGTATGCATCTCGCTTCCAGTCATTATTGCTTCACCTGATCCACATGTGTTCTCAATAATAGCTCGTTCACGCACGCGCACGCCGTCGGTTCGGTCGTGGCCTCAAGCGCCGTCCCATGGGCTTGATCAAGAAATTGCGCAAAGCTAAGAAGGAAGCTCCCCCGAATGAAAAGCCCGCAGTCGTCAAGACCCACCTTCGTAACATGATTATCGTTCCTGAGATGATCGGCAGTGTCGTCGGTATCTACAACGGCAAGGTTTGTATTGTCCTAACCCTTTTTGCGATGCATGACTGAAACATATCACTACAAGGTATTTAACTCCGTCGAGATCAAACCTGAGATGACAGGCCACTACCTTGCTGAGTTCTCGTGCTCCTACCGACCCGTCAAGCACGGTCGCCCTGGTGTGAGTTTATTCTTCATATGTCTTTGATGTTGTCTGAATGTTCTCTGCATAGATCGGTGCCACGCACTGTAAGTTTTCATGGAATCCTTTGTGGAAATCGAACTTCATACTCAATCTCTCTTCCCACAGCATCTCGTTTCATTCCTCTGAAGTAAGGCACAGGGTTCTTATATCTTTTGCATGCCCCTCCATTAGCTTTACTACTCAAAATATATGCATATGCCTATATGCCATACGAAACAGATGCCAGTATCACTTTTGTGACGGTCGGATGCAACGATATTATCTGCATGAAACAGTCGAGCATCATTAGCCCCACGGGACCCATTAATGAACAAATGAATGAAAGGTACAAGATAATGTTTCGGTTGGTTAAATTCATTCAAATTGCGTACATTCGAATGCACGGGTATAATGAGTATACTGCGAAGTATTCGTCCGTGTCATACTGATAAGTGAAACCGCACGGTAAACTACAGATAATGCGAGAAACCAAAAGATGCTTGGGGCAAATGAATGTCAGAGCAGCGGCAATGCATAGCAAGGCAAAAGAGTGGAAGTGAGTCGCCATTATGATGACAGAATCCAGTGTCCAACGGGGTCATCGTCGAGGCGCTGCAGTAGCAGGAATTCCATTGGGCGGCGATGACGAATGTAGGTGCTCGCCGCTACTTCGCGGATGCACGTAGGACGATGGTCGAGGAGATGAGGATATGGTACCAGTAATAGGTCGCTGAGCAGTGGGCCAATCTGTCTCGATCGGCTGGGGATAACGAGGTTGTTGCTGGCCCTGAATCATAGCCGCGCCTTGCGACAGGGAAGGTGGATGCGTAGGAGCAGTATATGACATGGGTGAATGAATAATACCTGGATGTGGATGTGGCGACTGTTGTCGGCCATTCCGTGTATGAGATTCACTCGGAGTTGACGTCAACGGTGGTCGATCTCCGGGTGGCGAAACGCGAGGTGAGTTGGCAAGGTTCGGCGAACCCATTGATGTCAACGGTGGACGCCCGTTTGCTCTGAGGCGCATGTATGTGTCACATTTCTTCATGAAATCCTTGCTTGGTAGCTCAGTACTGTTTGAGAAATATTCCTGATCATGAAGGATAGGCAGGAACTCCTCGGGAACCAAATAAAACTCATCCTGGTTCTCAAGTAACGAGGTTACTACGCGGATAGCTCCAAAGCTCTCGTCTCGAACGGCGTCACGCCCGCGTGAGTATAAGATGCTGGGACATATGACCGTTGCTAAGTTTGATAGGTCCATCTTGCTGCCGGTGGACTCGTCCATGTGTGCAAACGACGCCACCCATTTGAGGAACACAAATAGCACCTCCATGGTGTCACGATGGCTCTTGGGAAGAAGCAATGAAACTAGATGGAGACAACGCCTGCGCTCTGCTTCCGTAGAAAGGGCTGAAAACCGTATGTTAAATTGTGAATCATTTGAAAACGTGAAGACAGACACTGCGATGCAATCAATAACCGGTGTAACTTGAACGTCATGAGTGGCTCTGGGAGTTCACGGAGGAACTTCTTCAGGAGAGCAGCCAATTGCACGGGATTGTCCTGCGTGAGATCTACTGATGATAAGTCGTGATCGATGGCCTCCGTGAGATCCTTCAACCGCCTGATATTACCATTCTTGCGGAAGATGCCTTCCACCGACATATCTGTAAATGACAAGATATCAACACACAGCCAAGATCACCGTAAATAACATACCCATCTGCCTCATGGCTGAGACAACATCATCAATAAAGCTTGGCACCCTCAAGGTTGCACGGCTTGCTCCCAACAAAGAATCTGACCCTTCTTTCTCAACTAAGAGCTCAAGTGGAACACCAAAAACGCCTATACATGATCGATAAGGTGAACCCAATACTTGGGAATCGCAAAAACAACTCACCCTTTTTCTTAACGTTCTTCTTGTCTCCGGCTTTGAACAGCTGTTTCCAGAAACCTCCCTTTTTTGTCTCAACCAGTTCAAGCAACTCATCCAATTCGAGCTGGTCTCGAAGCGGAGATCGCTGGAGGGCGAGGACAGCAGAGTGTTTGACGATAGTAAGTTCAAGTGCGCTTAACTCGGCGACATGAGGTACCGTGCTCTGGCGTGGTAATGAGCGCTGCTGTTCGCGAGCTTGTGCAGCCTCCATCAGCTGAGGTATGTCAGCTAACGTGATACCGTCATCAGGGACGTGTAACGGGGCATCATCTGGGCCGCCTGCTGGAGAGTTCGGTGCTGACTCGTCCACTATTTTCACCTCTGTGTTGCTCCGCCCGATGGTAGAACGAACTACTTGTGCTTGATAACTTGTATCCAGTGGACCGGGTGTGCGACTTTGCGCCCGTGAAGGAGGTTGTGATGGTATTCCCGAAGAGCCCGGCTGGGAGGGCTGACGCCCTGGAACTAGCGTCCCTGGTGGAGGTGCCCTCTGAGGTTGCGGGGTTTTGATATCTTGTTGCGATCGTTGAGCATGCAGTGGCTCTGAGGGCTGGACAGTTTTGCCTGATGGACTCTCCACAATCGTCGATCGTTTGGGTAGTCGTGCTGTAGCAGATAGTTTTCGATCCAGATGTACAGATTTCATGCGCATTATATCGCCCGAGTTGCGATAGGGATCTTGGTCCCCTGACTTGGGATTGACGCTTGGCGTCGTAGAAGCAACTGACAATACACGCTTACGATGCAGAACATGGAATACAAGAGATGGGAACATACCTGGTGACAAAGGAACCACACCCTGTTGCTTTAAAACCAGGTACAACCTACGCAATGCAATGTTGAGCAGGAACGCATACTGCTCCAACCGAGACACAGCCTGGAATCCATCTCGACACCCTGGATGCACGTGGTCTGTACACAAAATGACGGTAGGCACTTCACCATACGAAGGAGTGTCCTTGACCGAATCAAACTCGTACATAAAGATGCCGACATTTGCCGGTGGTCTTCGGACAGAAGATGGCTTAGAGAGGTCCTTTTCGCTCTTTTCCTTTTCCTTGTCTTTATCTTCTGGAGACTTGGGTGGCGTCGGCTCTTTCAGTACCGGAATAGCAGCGGCCTTGTCACACCTGGCGCATTGCAGACATTGGGAGTGCCAACGTTGATAAGTCCCCAACCGAACACAGTCTTCTTCTACTGCTTGCGTACACTTGACGCACCGATCTGAAGGTGGATTGGTGACTGTCAACCGGGACGGCGAGTTTGCTGAGAACGGGGATTCTCCTGCATTTTCTGGTGCCAAACTCCTGAAGCCGTACGTGACACCCTGTGTGCCAAGGTTTGCTCCTCTCGTAACCTCACCACTTCCGCCTTTGATGATCCGGCGAGCCGCTGGGTCGCCACCTTGCACCGCGAGTAAATGTAGCTTATCGAGGAAAGATGGCATAGCCTCCCGGACGCTTTGTTCCCTCTCCAGTTTTAGTGCGCCAGTTAATGCTATTCGAATGAGGATCTTCAGGTAATGTGCTATTCCTGTCACAAGTGCAAGTAGTTCCTGTGTCATTCCCATCCTGCGCGACCCAGTTTCCTGGGTGCGTGAAAGAAGGGTGAACAGATCGACCGTTTTTCGACAAAGCATGCGGGCTTCTCGGACATGAGACATTCCTTCAAAACATGTAAGCGATATCAGGGATGAAACACGAGACCCGCACGCACCTTTCAAGTTAAGCCTAGCAGAATGACACTCAAGGTCATCGATGGTGCCAAATAAGACTTCCACGTGCAGAATAAACTTCTCGGCCATCCTAATGGCATCAAGATATTGCCCGTTGCTGACCTGTCGCAGCATATCGGATATACATGCAGCACTTGATTCCTCGAATGCCGAAAGAACTCTATAATGTAAATGTAGACGATCAGTCGTGTTTCAGGCCACGTGGGAGTACTCACGTCCAGATACGATAGACTAGCTGCTCCATCCTGACTTGCTTGTCCTTCAATGAAGTGGGAGTCTCTCGCTTCTCTTCCTCGACGTAGGATGGCTCCAATTCCGACCCATCATTAATCAACACACTTGATCTCCGTGAAACCACTTTGACGTTCCAAAACTGTAAGGCTAAGTGAGAATTTATATAAAATCACGACCTCCTAGAACGAGAACCTTATTGATCATGTAACATTCTGGATGCCAGCACTCGTCCCTCATGTTGCGGTTTATCTCAACGAATTGCTTCAGGATGGCGCTGCTGCAACCTGCACATTTTGTCGCGAATCGTGTCGAGTAGTGGAAGTGGCAATAAACGTCCCCATCGTGCTCATAGTAAGAGTCCTGTGGGCCAAAAAGGGTTGGGCATAGGGAGCAAGTGAAGTGTTCCACGTGATACTTCTTGTCTGTACAGGGATATTAATTAGCAGGAAAGGAGCGATGAGTACTAGAACCACTAACTGCATGCCGTAATATAGCTGCCTCGGAGAGCAAGCCCACATTTGGCGCATATAAGATTCAGGCGACGGAAGTAATCCCGCTCACAGAGGGGATGTTGTTTGCCATCAGGCCCATCAATGGGAAAGAACTTTGACGCAACGACATCGCCGCAGTCCTGACGAAATATAAGCGGAACTGGGTACCTGAAAAGTCAGGATGTTCGTACCAAACATTTAAAACAGTTCAAGTGATATACGGTGCCTAATGCGCGGACGAAAGCACCTTGCATCGTGTTTCCACATGCGGAGCAAGGTCTACAGGGAAGAAGTGTCAGATAATGGATCAAACCAGACTACTATTGGAGTATTTGTGGAGGGAATGGCGGACTCACGATTGTGAGATGTTAGTGGATGTCGCAGAGGACGTGGATGTCATGGGACCAGGCTTGTTTGGGGAACTAGAGCTGGAGGACGCAGAGTGTCCGGAGGAATACGAAATTACACTGTCTCGACGCTTCAACTCTACGTTCCTTTCGGTGTGTGAGACAAGAGTATATGGAGTAGAACCATTGGGAGTGGTAGGACGGCTACGAGAACGAAAAGCGGGTGATGGAGGCGGGAGAGAAGCGGGGATACCATTTGAATCGTAAAGCCTGCTCGAGTTGGCATGGTTCAAGTCATCGCTATAGGCGTGAGGGACTAGATCATGCTTCGTGGAAAGGTTATTACGACTGAGGTCTTGAGTGGAGCCAAGGGTAGAAGCTCTTGTAGGAAAAAGGGGACGATCAGATAGACGAGTGGTAGTTGTCGGTGGAGCATAAATAGAACCACCAAGATGAGATAAACCATCGTGCTCTTTGCGCAGACGAGCCGTTTCCGAATCAAACGACATAATGGATCCCAGGCAGGCCTGACTACGATGATTAGTACCCCCAATGTTAATTGGAACAGTTCTGAGAGAGATCCTTGACGATTTTCATGCGGAACCTAGTAGATTTATGTTCCAAGAAGCGATGAGGTAGAACGAAAGCAAGCTAGATGCACCACAGCTGGAGAACAGTGCAAAAGCAGTGAGGTCTATTGAAGAACGAGGATCACGAACGTGACAATAAGTCACGCGTCACAGTAACCACTTGATCCATCTACGCTCCGTTACTTATTAACTGACGCCGATGCTCACAAAACCCGAACTTGTGTTGCGCCATACAGCTTGTTTGTAAGACTAGGTCGTGGGAGGTGTTATGGAGACTAAAACTTCATCTAGAACCAGGTTTGTAATTCATAGAGATGAGTCCGACGGTATTTTCTGTGCCAGGCAGTTGCTCCACATTGCATTTCAACATAAACCGCATCTGGTCCAACGTGATCCCGCCCCTCGAGGCTCCAAACGACCAGGCCTACAGAACGCTCCCACAGAAAGACTGGTAATCCTTCTTGGCTATTCCCAGAGATAATTTATGTAGTCAGCAAGTGAGTTGATCAGATAACCATGCCTCATATCACTAACATCAAGCCAACATATCTATACACAGAGTGTGGTTATATTTAGTTCCGGTGACGAGGACTAGACGGGTGTTGAGAAAAATCGCTCTCGTGCTCGGTTCTGGCAGTGCTACTGATGCGAAGGTGTCGATTTCGGAGTCTCTCCAGCCAACCTCAGAGTCGTCGGGGCATCTGTGTTTAGATCTTTCACCTCATGGCGGCATGATCCACCATAATCAGAAGGTTACAATGAACCTGCCTTCATCGATGTTCGCTTGGCTCTTCTGACTTCTCTAGACAAATTTGACATTGATGTGACGGGTTGAATATTTTCATATTCCAGTCACGGTGCCTAGTATTAAGTCCCTTTGGGCTCAGGGCCTCGTTTCACGTGTATTGCTGTCGTGGGTGCCTACGGCAAATTGTCTCTCCTGGATTCCTATCAGTCTTCTATCGTACGACTCCCCGACCATCAACTCATCGACATCTTCATTATTGATCGTACCTTGTTTATCAGTTGGCGCAGCACCAAATCTCTCACCACTCTTCGCTACTATGACCAAATACAACACTAGTTCGTCAGATTGGGATTATAGCACTTGTATCGCCTCTAACATGCAAGAGAACTGGTACGAAACAGCTTCCCTAAGAGGTATCACCAGGGGTGACGAGGTGTGTTCTCGACGTCGTGTAAGCATGTCGTGAAGTTCATCGCATTTCGCAGTATGTCGATAACCTTACAGCTAGGCTGTCCATGAATCTATCAATATACTGCACACGTCATCGACATCAACAGCACTCGAGATGGCGTGTTGCATCTTTACCTACATGTGCGCATCATGATCAAACTGCAGTCTTCTCGCCTCATGTTTCTACAGATATCCAATCGATATATGACCGCTGCTGATATTGACTCTCATGTTGATGCTTGAACAAACCTTGGTTAATCTATTGCATAATTTCTTACCCTTATTTCACCCCCTATGCACTCGACAATGATACCCCGTGGTCGATCGGTTCGTATAGCGCTCAGGAATGGTGCCAGGCATACTTTTTGAAGTCGTGTACGCCACCGTACATGAAGCATGGCACTCTAAAGCGTTCAGAGACTGCACAGGACCTGTTTGAAATGGAGAACTTGGTGGTGTCCCACTTTTTTTTCATGATGGGCTGGACCAGGTGTACAGCGAACGATCACAACGTGTTTCGGATAGGCTGGAAATTGGCACTGAAAGGGACACATGGCGATATGACAGGCAGATGAGTGGACTTGATTTACCTGATCTTCTACAGATATTGTCACGCCCTCGCTTGGAGGTCAGGGTCAGTGGGGTAGGAGAGTATGACCATGGATAGAGGAGTCGTCAGCCGCCAGCGTTCATAGAAAAGCGTCAGGATTACACATTCTGCAATATCATATGGAAGTAGCGACAGCACGCCGGACTATGCGTATCGTTCGAGTACCAACATTGTTCATTGCTCAATACGCTAGACAACGAGAAAATTTGACAAGGTACGACGTCATTGAACTTATCATCGTCAAAGAATATTAATATTAATTATGTACTACTACTTAAAATTCAGATCTCAGAGCTGGTGCAAGCACTTTGAGTCTTGGCCCAGTCCACTGGCAGAATTCCGTTCTCCTGTGTGTGGTCATATTCCTACTTGGCATTATGCGCTTTTGTTACATGATTAATCTATTGCGATCACTGAATCTTTTGTTTACTTGGATCCACAGGTCCAACATCTTCGCTCCCTGGTGGTCTGAGCCACAGTTCTCATCTATTTAAGCAGCTTCGTTCTGCAGACCTTTGCCTTATCGCTTCCTACGACTAAGGTGAGATATTTTACTGTTACTTCACCTTTACCTATACTTACGATGACCAAAGCTTTCTGTCATAGGTAAATATACCAGACGTCTGCATTATTGCATCTTACGACTAAGATCATCTGTTTGTTGTAGATCCGTGCAACATTGCTATTGTTCTTATTGCTCGAACTGATTTTTGAAACCTCCTATCAAGTTACAAAAGGTAATTCTTACACCTGACCGAGGTTTTGCCTGACAACTCTGCCCTATAGATCCCCATGTCACACATCGACGAAGAATCTGCTGCACTGGTTGAGTCCATGCGCGTCCCTCGCGTTTGGAAAAATGGTCAAATCCCCATATCGCGCCTTCCAGATGAGATTCTCCTGATGATCTTCAAGCACTTCGAAGAAGAGAGGCGTCTCAATGGATACGATAGCGATGATGATTTTGAGAGCGATGCCGTCGATGATGCCCCTGCTTGTCTAGTAGTCACACACGTCTGCAGACGCTGGCGCAAAGTCGCTCTCGAGTGCCCGACTCTTTGGAGATTCATCAGTTCTACCTCTTTGTATTGGCTAGATGTCATGCTTGAGAGGTCGCAGCAGGCTCCTTTGGTTGTCACCTATACAACATTTGCGATCTCACTAAAGGGTTGCTTGGAGAAAATTCTTTTACACCTGCCCCATATCAAATACCTCGAATTACGCGCACTTTCATATCACGTCGGCCGCGTTATGGATCTGCTATCATCTCAACCTGCACCAATGCTTGAAACATTTAAATTCTCGGTCTACGGTCAACTTCCTTCAACGGTATCCATATCCGACACCATCTTCCAAGGACAAGCACCCTCGCTTCGGTACCTCGAGGTCGACTATTGCAATCCCAGATGGTCATCGAGCATTTTCAGTGGGCTTCGAACTCTATATGTCGCGAAAACGTCCTTGCCGGACCTCCTTTCGGCTCTACAATGTACAGACACCCTGGAACAGCTTACGCTCCGATATGACTTTTTACAAACTGGCCAATCAATACTCATCGATGGAGTGCCACTCCCTCGGTTGAAAAAGATTGTACTAGACGGTACCTCGCTCGAAACTGCTGTGTCTCTCCTCGGACGGCTGGCCCTTCCCGTTAACGTCAAGATCGCTCTACAGCTTTCATCAATCGAAGGGCACCGAACCTTTGCTGATTTGTTTTCAGTCATGAATATGCACCCTGGTGGATCCGGTCCCGTCTTTCGGTCGCTGCGTGCCATTAAACTCAAGCCATGGCGTTTTGCTGTTCAGTTTAGCTCTTTGACAGAGATCAATTCGAACTACTCCTGGAATCCTCAAGATGATGACATACAACTCTCGATCCAATTCTACTACGAAGACTCTAATGAATTTCAGCCAAATGGACCACCCGCTGGATTTTCCAGAGATATTGTCTTCGATATGTGTAAAATCATCGCGCAACGCAGCGGTCTAACTTTCTTCTCCGGAAAATTCGAATCCATCTATGTGGAGGGTGGCCCAGACTTTATTGGAGGCTTAACCGCTGCGCTCCGGATTGAAGGGTCGTCAAGAGGCACGTATCCCTCGCTTCGTGTTCTGAAGCTCCTCGGTATCTCGTTCGAAGGTGATGAACTTCAAAACCTTCGAGATGTCTTGACGATGCGAGCCAAACATGAGGTCCCCGTCCACGACCTCCGCCTCAGACTATGCCGTAATTTCACGGCTGATCAGATGCAGCTTTTTCAACAAGTGGTTATGAACAAAATCGATTGCGATCAATCTACCCTTGATCACGGTTCGATTGCGGCTATTCTGTATCCTTCCTAGACTGGAGTTTTAGTATGTTTTAGCGTTCCTATCGTCGGTAGCTGTATTTAATGGTCTCCCCTTAGGTTAGGCAGACCTAATCTACCCCAGCAATAATCATGCTCTCTTCCAAGTACTTAGTAGCTCAACTTTCTTTTCATCACAACTTATTACGGCTCATGTAAAGTAAATGTAGTGTTGAAATGAAAGGTATTAGAGGAGCAAGGAAATCGGTGCATAGTACTATTTGTCCTTGGACTGGGCATAGTACTAGTAAGTCTATGATTGTTGGCAATTGATTACATAATTGAAAGTGCCGAGTCGCGTTGCCGATCGGCTTTGACCCAAAATGGATGCGCCGAACAACTGCGTCATGGGCCGAGCGATTTCGTCGACGGTGATCATGACGGCGCGCGGTATTCGAGACTGTATATAAATCGCTACTCTGATGTTCCCCTACCTCATCAACATCATCGATTCCCCCGACTAACATGTACCCCTACTATCACCGCCACTATTTCCGCGGTCCATCCCGTATCGTCTGGTTCGTCCTCGGCGCAGGTGTTGCTACTTTCTGGAATTGCAGTCACAAGATGCGCGAACATCGTGCACAGTACTTTCCTTGCGTCATGCAACCACATCGTGTAGAAGGGAGCGGCGAAAACACCACCCCTATCTACTCCAAGCCCGACGCTTCCGGGCCAGCACCCCAGGAACATAGGTGGAACTTTATCTATAAGAGACAGCATGACCACAATGGTGATGGAACCATGGGTTTTAATCAACGGGAATGGGAGGAGGACAAGGAACGCCTCAAGGAGATTCAGAAGCGCGCCGAGGATGCGGTGAGTCGAATAAAATGATATCTTGTATTTCTCTTCATATCAGTTTCTTAAAGATGCTCGATATGTCTGAATCCACTTTAGAGTCCATCGTCTCTACCGTGGAAGCACTGAAAATCGTACGCCGTCTCGTTCATCTCCCAGATCCAGTTTCTCAGCATCAACCTCCAGAAATTGGCCCAACACAAGGCCCAACGCGAACAAGAACGAAAAAATTACGAAGAAGAACTCGAGAGGCAAAGGAAAGCACCTCTTCGATATGTTTAAATCATAGAATCGTACATTACATATGTACATCATCACCCCTCCCTCATTATCCTTTTAATTGGATTTTGGCATTGTAAATAACCACCATATAATGACGCGCGCTCACTTCTTGTTGACATCAATCGCTTACCAGTATCGCATAAGGGTATCACTGCAGGTATCCAACTAAACTTGGTCATCCAGGTGCATTCTTCGGACATATGCCGGAGCTTTAGGATTGATCTTCCCCTGCTCCTCAGCTAATTTACGGCATTAATGACCTTCACACACACACAACTAAGACACTCACGGGTAGCATACCAGAAATAGATGATGAGGCCAATGACGACGACACAGAAAGCAGGGAAGTACAGCCAGTATGGCGAATAGTGCTGCAAAAATATTAGCACCCATTGACCTCGCAGATATGCAACACTTACGAAAAGGAAAATACCTATTAACATACAATCAGTCATCCTAAGAGCGGTCGCAAAGAAGATGATAGCATACCAAAAATAAGACCATAAAAGTCACTCGTGAGCAGACTGATGTTGTAGAAAGGTGACGACGCCATGCGGTACAGCAGAGGAGCAACTGTATAGAGGATAAACATCGCTGTCAACGAGTGTCAGCGTGAGGATCAAGCTAAAATTTAACAGAAACCGACCAGCTGTGTAAGCAGCAAGAAAGCCAACTGGAGAACCCATCAGCCCAGCCCACATTGTAGTCATACCAAAAATGACCCACTCGTGGCACCATTCCATGAGGCTGTAGTCATGGCCACATGCTCCAAACTAGCAGCCTGAATCCCATTGATCAAGGTCCCCCACATACCAAGCTGGCCAACGACCTGCTAGGGTAAGATACGCGATCCTCTATTAAAGACGCATCACCCACCTCATAAAGCGGCGATCTCCTCACAAAGAACTCTTCCGTGGCATTGGCTGATGACCGTCATTAATATGAGGATTTGTTCACCTGAAGGATAACATACTAAAGCCATATAGCGTCGCTCCAACAATCATGAAGGCGTCGCCTTTGCCCTTGCTTAGTGCAGGGTAGTTCTTGTCTGTGAGCATGTCTGAAGATACTAGCATGCCGAGTCCTCCGACACACACTAGGATGCCCTGTATGCATCTATGAGTCAGACATGGAAATAGGTACGTATCAATGTTTTCTCACCAATACTTGAGTCCAATGATACTTCGAACGCATGTACACCCAGCAAAAGAACAGGCAAACAGGAATTGCCCAACTAAGACAGACTTCGTGAGATGCAGTAAACATACGGCTGGTCGAGTACGACTCACGCGTCGAGAAGCATGCAAGATAGTAGATCGGTATAGTTGTATGCCTGTTCGATGAGACACGATAAGTGGTGCGATCGAAATAAGCAGAGATATATGCTTACCTTTACGACCAAGAAGTTGCCCTCGACATCAGAAGCCGCGAGAATGAAGTCTGTGGTGTATCAAAACCCTTTGTCGGCAGAAACGATGATGATGTCACGAACATTTCCAACCATCCCTATATATCATCTGACCCCAACCCTTCAAGCCATCTTCAGTATTTATCTGTTGTCAGCCATCGATCAAGAAACAAACAAGCATGCTTACACTTATATATAGTATACGGCGTATAAATGACAAACAACGAGCAGTACCTGCAAGAAAAAATATATAGACGTCACAGATAACCACAAAACTCAAAACACGCACAAGAACCACGTCTGTGTAGTTGGCAACGACCAATTCCTAGACACCAGTTCCGTCGTCGTGACATTAGTCACCGTTATGCACAGAGAAACTACTTGTCCAGCCAACAGCGATAGTATGAAGCGCCTGGTCCATATACTCTTCCACCTGGCCCAGGAACTGCTTGTGAAAGCAGCTGGGGAAGAATAGTCGATCGGAGGGCGAACAGAATTCCGCGCGAGGGCGCCTGCGTCTATGACTGATTGCGCTGATCCCGTCGTATCCTCAAAATCGCGCTTGTGATCGAGAGACTCGGACATGGTGTCTCTAGTAGTAGTACTGCGATCGTCCGAGATGCTCGGTCCTGGATTTGAGAACATCGAGCTCTTTATGGTCCCTCAGGCTGTCAGCGATTGCACACACCCAGATGGCAGCTCAGGAACTTACGTGTGAGATTTGGACAGAACCTGACAGAACCTACTTGGATGGGTAGTTTTGCCAAGCGGCAACGCGTGGTGCCTTTCAATTTTTTAATGGGGGTAAAGTTAACCAATCAAATTCGTCCGTTTTTCCTCAGTGCCTATGCCTCAGGTATGTGCTACGAAGCAGACTGGGCACTTGATCGGCCTGGTCAAATCATATCAGAGAAAACGTAGTGGCCCTCTGCGACACTGTCAAGGTGCCTGACATATCCCAAACAGTTGAACTGGGCTCTACTGAGCCAAATGCCACAATACAATACATGAGCATTGGAGGCACATGTCAATAATCTCACAGCCGCGGGTACCTTGAACTTTCTCTAACATTTTCATGCATAAACGTGCATGCCAATTAACTCGTCTGCACGTCACTGAATTTGATCAGCTGAAGGACAGCAGGCAGGTTCAAATCAGCAACCTCAAAGCGACTGCTAGTCCATTAGAAGATAGTAGACTATCGTTTATCCGCAAAGAAACGCTGAGAAGGCACAGATTAACTCCCAGCATACGTAAAAGACACCGCATCACTCACCTTCAAATGTCGCAACTGCCACGTGCACGTAGCAATAAGCACTCCAATCTGCAACACGCTATACCAAACAGCCTTCGAATTCGTATTCTCACTCAAGTTTCGGAAATCTGCCTCCCTCTCCCGCTGGTACTGCTGTTCCCTGCGAATTTCTTCAAGTTTTTGGTTGAGGTCGCGGAGCTTGCTGGAAAGTTCTCCGATATGAGTACGGTCGCTTTCGATGTCTGGTTTCGTGGAGCCCACGACGATGTCGAGATAGAGCTTGATGTGCGTGCTTGACCACCATGACGTGTAGTTGGTGGAGATGCAAATGGAGTGGTCGCCAGATTCGTGGGATGTGAATGTGAAGCGACCGTCAGGTGGACCTCTCGTTTTTGTGACGACGTGCGATGTTTCCATTTCCTATAGGCAGAAACTGCGTATGAGACATATTGTTCGTAAAGGTGCCTTTGGGATGTACCTCCACTTCAACTATGATTCCGAGTTCCTCATTTAGAGTGTATTGTTGTGTGCTATCACCCCACTCTAACGCTCTGTAGTGACCTATGACGCAAGGTAAGACATTCGAGGTGCCCCCGACTGGTCCAGGTGATGAGGACACCTACCCTCAACCACTGTGTCTGATGGCAGCTCTTCCACAAAACATCGTTTTTCGTTTGCATCCAAGTAGAAATGAAGGGCATTGACTGTCGTTATTAAGAGAAGGAAAAACGGCAGAAGCACCGAAATGCGAAACGCGAACATGTTGTTCGGTGAGCGGATGAAGTCCAGGAAGAAGATTGGAAGTCACGTGTTGACATGATGCTCAGAAATTTCACGTCCTGCGTATCATTTCATTATTCATGCCATGGCTCCCGCACGTTTTCAACCGTCGTCTATCAAAAACAAGATAAAAAGAGAAGAGGTTGCGCGCAAGCTGAAAAAGAGCAAAAACCAGGCTAAACTACAGAAAAGGCTTGATCAGGCCAAGGTTGAAGCCAACGACCCTGCAGCAAAGAAAGTGCGTATAAACGATCCATCTTTACTCCCTTCGCAGTTGACCTCGCATCAGAAACGTATTTCAGAAAATGTACCTCGTACGCTCGATAATACCCGCGAGGCAGACCCAGCTATGCTCTCTGCAGCTGGCCCTTCGTCTGCCCAGCATGAGGAATTCTCTAATGATATCGCATCTGATCCTTTTGCGGACTATTTCAACTTCACGCAGGATCCAACTATCCCTCCGAAGGTTCTCATTACCACCTCTGCAAAAGCCTCGAAGGGCACATATGAATTTTGTGATGAGTTAGTAGGAATATTTCCAGGTGCCGAATTTATACGGCGGAAAAAGGGGAAAGGCTTCGAGATGGGTCGAATAGCTGGTTGGGCTGCTGGCCGTGGTTATAAGCATCTACTAGTTGTGAACGAGGACATGAAGAAGCCAAGTCTGTTGTCTCGACCATCTTTGCTACGCAAGGCTTATGCATTGTCCAGACGCTATCACCTTGGTGTATCTCCCTAATGGTCCTATGGCTTATTTCAAACTTACGTCTATAGAACTCACAAAACAGATATATGTGAGCTAGACTTCCATCTCATTGCTGGTGCAAAAATAACGGATCTGTATTCAGGGTCACGCGAGAGCAACGCCACACAACCCCGAGCTCGTTCTCAATAATTTCTCTACTACTCTGGGACACAGTGTTGGACGAATGTTCCAGACTTTATTCCCGCCATTGCCTGAATTTCAGGGGCGACAGGTAGTCGCGCTTCACAATCAGCGTGACTTTTTGTTTTTCAGACGTCATCGGTAGGGAGATCACAAGAATTGGATGAATAAGGTTCTAAACCAAATCTATTAGGTATGCTTTCCGCTCGCCTGAGAAAGTTGCTCTGCAAGAAATTGGGCCTCGTTTCACTCTAAAACTTCGATGGCTCAAAAGAGGGCTGCCGGCAGTTCAAAACTTTGGGGCATCGCCAGATGCCCTAGAAATCAGTGTTGGGACTGAGGAGTTGCCTGGACCTCCAGAAGAAACATCTATGCCAGAACAAGACGAGGAATCGGAGATGAAGCCGCTTGAACCCGTTTCAGTGAGCAACCCTCCAAAAGACAATGAGTATATCTGGCGTTGGAAGGTAACGTGCTGTCCACTCGATAACGATCATTGTACTGATTACTCTGTAGCCTGAGCTTGAAACGACAAGAAAAACATTTTTCTTATGATGCAAAATATCACTTTTGGAGAAGTGGAAGATCTATAGAAGATTGTTGTACTTGTTGGAGTTCATTTTCACAATCGGTTTGGATTGCCAAGTCGTTCTTGTTAATCCATCTGTGATACTGTGAAATAAAAACAATGAGATATCACACGACACGCAGTGTGTGACTATTTGACATCATAACATCTTGTCAACGAAGTAACGTTATTTACTTTGATTTGTATGACGGTCCTTGTAAAGTTCACGCAATCGTCATGCCTACTCCGTCGCCTCCAAATTCGCCACAGGATAATGTAAAGCCTGCGGATTATAAAGGTGTCTTTGCTGTATGTCTTTCTCGCATATCATCTCAAACTAGTCGCCCCCATTCACGGTAATGACAGGCCCGACAATCATACACCCAACATACAGAGTGCGTTTCCTTCCTACATACCCTTTCCCTTCACTAACCTCGTCGTATTGGTGCTCAGTCCATGCGAACAAGCAGCAAAGGCATCTTTAAGCTGCATGGACAACAACGATTATAACCGGGACAATTGCCTGGACTTCTTCCAGGCATACAGGGACTGTAAGAAGGCGTGGGTGAGACTAACATACTTATCAAGTCCTTGAAACCTTTGTGCTGACTATGTTCCAGCTGGAGCAGAGACGCGAGGATCGTAGAGCTGGCCGACCTACACCTATATGAACCGAAATGCCTGGCAATATTGGTTGATATGCACCTCGTTATTTTTACTTAGACTCGGATTTTTTTGCGCTACATGATGTATCGTGAAGACGACGACATAAATTTTCCAGCATATAGGTCAGGCTGCTGTCACAGTAACAAAGGCATATATGCAACTACAACCTCACGCAAGTCCTCAGGTTAACATGAATTGTATTCGAAGTATATGTACAAAATAAATGTAACAAGATCATGAAATAAGTCGGTATACATCGCGAGCCGAGATAATGGAACTATTTAAATGGCCAGTGTCGTACCAGTAAATGGAAATACAAATCGAAGCAGACTGTCTGTAGAGAAGGAAAGGGAAAGGATACGTACTAGCGAAGTAATTACAAGCTGCGATGAGATAATGAATTCAAATGTCTGTCTCGTAAAAGTCAAGGAAAAGGAGAACTGAAGTAGGGAACGAAAGAGACAAATCTTACTGGTACATGCCAGATGAGTCTATGATGAAACTGACCAGTCGAATGAAAATACAGATCAAAGAGGTAGTAGATAAAGAATAAGAAACGACTTGCTATCATAGATGCGTGCGTGATCATGGAGGTCGCCTATATGGTAGAATGTCGTGTAGTGAAGACCGATTAGTTTGTCGTCAAGATTGGGTCGTAGGGGACCTCTATTGTCGGAGACTCATGACGTGTAGTGTGCGTAGACTGGAAGTGGCCTTCGACTTCTTGGGCGGTGAAGCTCCGGGTCGTAGGGGACAGAAGGAGGCCGTTGTCCAAATTGGTCGTAGGGGACCTGATATTGGAGTGTAGGTGTGTGTCGCTAGTAGCGCAGAGCTGGTCTTGAATCACCCAGGCTGTGGGTGTGCACAGATCGCAGGGTTCAGTGAAAAAGGCCAGTATGTCTGGCTCCGCACTGTAGTTTTGGATCTAGGCTGTCGAAGTACAGTAGTTGTGAGAGGTAGCTTGAAGCGTGGGTTGGCAAGTTTCGTAACCAGGATCAGAGGCTTCAGCTTCGAGGTGGAAGACGGGCGATGGGCGAGAGAGAGAGCCTCCATAATTTGAGTCGGCACGTCGATGGGATAGCCAGGTCCAGGAAGGGCGACGCCAGGATCGGTAGATGGACTGTCTGAGAGAGAGAATGTCTTGTGGCGGTTGACTAGAATGAGTGGTCGAAGCTTCGAAGGACGAGGTGGATCATCGAGAGTAAGAGCTGTCATTTTGGCAATCAGAATATCAAGCACATGTTCTAGTGCAGGGTCCTTCTGAGGCTGTGGTTTAGAACGATCGTCCTAGATGTTCAAACATCAGGTAATGTGAAGTTTGATGATGCACTGTGTCTTACCTTGTGAACAGTGCTTTTGTCGCTAACTTGAAGCGACTCCGAGTTATAGTCGTCGGCGTCCCAGGCACCATCGTCCGAGAAAACGTCGGGAACTGAGTCGTCATTATGGGGTACAAGAGTGGTGCTGGAATCGATGGACAGGCGTTTGCAGTAGAGGTCCGGCGAAGTGAGAGTGATGCAAGGCGTACAAATATTAGAATACGTGGTTGAGGCAGACGTTGTTTCCGTCGATTCGATTAAACGCAATAAGGGAGATGGCTGCAAATTATACGGTTTTACGGTGGTCTTTTCATTAGGCATGCAAGTAGAAAATGGGGCGGATATTGTTCCTGCCGATTCGATTAAACGCAATTGAGATGGAGACGGAAATGGCTGCAAATGGGATGATTCAACAGGCTGAGGCGTGACAGAGGCGGTCACATCATGAGCGGATGGAGGATTAAAGTCGGCGTTGGCGTTCTTTGAAGTGGCTAGCATATGCTTGGGCTCGTTGCTGAGGAGCCTCTGTGCAGCTTTGTCGGCGGCGAGAACCAGCGTAATCGTCGACAAGCAGACAGAGTATACAGCGAGGCCAGCGGAAGCATTCTCTGCTTTGGATAGGACCTGAGCGGTATTGTCGACGACAACACGTCTGAAGCAAGAGACCGAAAGGAAGCCAGTGACGGCGACGCGGACAGTAATGGTCATGGCGGTAGAGAGAGTCATAATGGTAGATGATGGTTGAGAAGAATGAAGATCGTAAGAATATGCTGGCACAGATAGACACGGATAAACTGAGAAGAAAATATTTGCGAGGGCGCGCCGTATTTATACTCCTCGAATTTTCCTGGAAAATTAAAGTTTGTGTGGTGATAAACAAACTCGATCGCGACGCGTTCGTCACGTGCTTAGAAAATCAACCAGTATATAACTCATGGCTTCACGCCACATGATCTTACCACATGCGTTGACAGCATTCTTGAAGCAGAGTGCATGTGCTTAGGTTTCCTTCCGCGCCTCCAGCCGCAAATGCCCTGGAGTGGCCGCCCTCCACAGGTGTACCGTTCCCAGCTCTTTTAGCGCACGAGTCTACAGCAGCCCACGCGGAATCCTGGTAAACATAGTTTTGTGAGGCCGCTATCATGTCAAAAGTAGTCCCACCGAAGCAGCCGTGTGGTGGAGAGAGGAGAGGGGTGAGCTGGTAAGATAGCCGATGACGGTCGAGGCGCGCACTATAGGCAAATTATGAGCTTATTGCGATAGCCGTTCCGTGATGTTCACCCTGATGCTTGCAGCCAACTTTAATTTTCTGCTTCTGCTGAGAGATCATTCCTAGTGGTACCGGTGTGACACGGCACGGACCTCCTGTCGACTACGAGTGAAAAGAGATCCATAAGCCCCTTGCGATTACGCTTTTGCTAGTTACTATCTGTGTGATATGGGTACCAGCGTTACGAATGAGATAAGAGACACCTATCAGCCAAGCGGCGGCATTCTTCGACAGGACACATGTCATTGACAGTGCGTGCCGTCCACAGGTGGCAGCGCATGCCATCCGCTCATGTATTGTGATCGAATCTTTTCTAAAGGCTTGAGTGAAAAATGGAAACTCAAGGATCCGAGATGGACAAACGGAATAAAGAGGCTGGCGATCGTCAAAGTGAGGACCCTTGGGCAACACTGGAGTAATTATCATATTGCCATGAGGCACTTCATTTGCATGAAATCAAAGCATCTGTACGGAACGACATCAGAAACAGTACAGGACGTACATACGACTGAGCAACTAGATAACCACTTCCGACCTCCAAAAAGGAGTGATCAATCAAGAGGTGGGAAGCGGAGGAGGGGCATCTGGCTGAGGGGCAAAAATCAGGTTAAGTGGGGGCGTCGTTTGACTATCCTCGTTCAAGACTGTAGCGATGATAGAGCGTCCAGCAAAGGACCGCCCAGCAAGCGCCTTGAGACCTGTCTGTGCACCTTCGGCATCAACATACTTGACATACACACGGCCAACACCCGCAGCTTCATCTGCGCGCTGAGCTTCAATTGCAGTCTGCTGTCCAGGCTCTCCAGGAGCCCATTTCGATTTGTCTTTCTTGACCGGCCGGGGAATGCGCAGATCTTCAACATTCCCGTATTTGGAGCATTCTTCTTTGACGTCCTCGTACAAGTCGCCATATTCGTCGTCATTGGTGAGATCGTCGGGAGTAACCATGTTGAGCATGAGAAGGATACGAGCGTCGGCGTTGTTGCTTTCGCCAGCAGGCATGATGGGTCGAGGAATCTCTGGAAATTGGTCGTAAGGAAGGTTTGGAATCATGCCAGGTGTTCCGGGTTTTGCGCCGACCGAGGCTCTCTGTACAACTAGATAGCGGTCTCCTAGCTCCATGCCGTTCAAGCTTTGAATGGCAACGTCAGTAACAGAGGCATCCACATATTCGAAGAATGCAAAACCCTGCTCATGTAAACTATTAGATATAGATTATTAGGATCGAGAAGCGGAAGAATACCTTGGATGGACCATTGCCATTTTCACGAACCAAGTTGAAGGCTTTGAGCTCGCCGAAACTTTTGAGTAACTCCTGTACCTGCTCCTCGTTCAAGTAAGTAGGCAGACCACCCACAAACACTTTGTTGATGGAGTCGGGGACGTTGGTTGAAACAACGCCTGGAACATGGACGCTAGGAACAGTGATCTCAACACCACCGTAGTCCTTGGGTCGCCGAATTTTGAGTGGACCATTGATGAATATGATACCGTCAAAGGCCATAGCAGCTGTTGCATCTTCTGCGCTGCGGAACTACAGATGACATAAGGTCAAACGCACTCAGGACCAGTCAAAAGATGCACAAACCTCGACAAACGCATAGTTCTTCTCATAATTACATTGAACTGCCAAGACAGGATTTCCAGGGCCACCGGTCCCAATGTCCATTTCGATCATTTTGCCATTGAAGAAGTCGGCAAGATTTTGTTCATTGACCTCAGGTGTGATACTGCCAATATAGAGGCGACGGGATTGACGAGATAAGTTTGGGTTACTGCCAATTCCCATGCCAAAAGTCTGGACTGGGATTGGAGGCGGCAAACCAGCGATACCGAGTATCGGAGGAACTTGTGTGCGGTTCGCTCCAGGAAGGTTGAAAAGACCTTTGAAAATGTGACATTTAGATACACTTGGAGAACTGGATGGTCAACCAACCTGTTTGTTTGGCTTGCATGGCAGAATACTGTTCATATCCAGGAGCATGAACATCCCATCCAGAAGCTTTGCGCCTCCGTTGAGTTAGAGGAACTGCACCCTCGGGTGTAGGGGACCTTCGCTCCGGAGTGCCAAGCCCATCCCGTCCCTTACGTCCACCACGGCGAGGAGATCCCTCCTCACGACCTCGACCATGTCGATGTTCGCGGTTCTCTTCACGGTGTTCTCGGCGGCGGTCACCGTCGTGGCCAGCACCACGCTTCCTGCGGTCATCAAAGTCACGACCACCGAAGTCGCGGCGTCGGTCATCTCGACGATCACCAAAATGTTCTCTATTTCTGTCCCTGTCCCTATCCCCTCTATCTCTGTGGCCATGGCCATCCCTGTCACGGTCTCTGTAATCACGGTGTCCGTCATCACGCCTCCGGCGGTCGCGTTCCTCACGGAAGCCGTGCTCTAGAGAAAGAAGAAACCATGGGTAGTGAGTAACGTGTGATGCTGCTGGCGGGATCAGCAGTTCGGCGAGGAGGTGCATTTGCCGTATCCTAGCTAGCTGAAAAGGAAACATGGGGCAAAAAGAGGACGATTCTCATGGAACCATCATCTTTCGCAGGAAAAATTCCAGGCAAAAGATGAAGCAAAGAACAAGTACCTCCAGCAGTGCCTCTCGAGGAATACAAGTCGGCTTTTGAGCGCCTACTCGTGAAAATGACGCATGAAGAGTGAGAGACGAAGCTTACCTGCTGTGTCTGCCATATTTGAGTCTTTTGCTCGATGTAGTTCGTGTTCAAGGAAGGGTCCAAGCATTTGACGATGCGAAAAAGTTACGTCAGCCAGGCCTTCTGATACTACGTTGCTGCCGCTCCAGGCAATAATTTGTCCACTTGAACTGTTTCTGCTATGTCTACAGAACTTCCATACGCTGCTGATGCTGAAATCTCATTATCGTACGATGAGATAGAGGTACGCACTTTCCGTACTCAAGTGATAATTCTACAACTTTGTTATATAGGTCCTTCGGTTACAATACGAGAAGGAGCTTGCACAGTCTCACATCACCGTCCAGACCAAATTTAATTATGCATGGGGGCTAGTGAAGAGCCCGGTACGCGAAAACCAGGTCGAGGGTGTGCGACTGTTGCAAGGTTTGTGCTGCTTCTGTGTCTCCTTTCCGCGGTGTCTAACTTGACGCTGCACAGAAATATACCGGACTGAGCCATCAAGACGGCGAGAGTGCTTGTACTACCTAGCACTTGGATACTACAAGATGGGAAACTTTACAGATGCAAGAAGCTTCAACGGTATGTCGAAGACGTGCCTCCTTGCGCTGACTTACCTGGCTACTTATACCTGATGCGCAGACCTCTTGCTTTCACGAGAGCCCACTAACCTGCAGGCACAAAGTCTAGCATCACTGATAGACAAGGGTGTTGCGCGAGGTACGTCATCTTTTGGAGTATTTTTGCACCTTACTGATCTGGACGCGTAGAGGGATACGTGGGTATGGCACTTGCGGGCGGTGTGGCCGCAGTCGGCACCCTCCTCATTGCGGGTCTCATACGGCGAGCAACCCGTAAATAAATCGAAATGAAGAACTCTGACACGACTTTCTATCTACACTTGCTGTCTGCACCATGCATATTCTATATCACGATTATCCCTTTGCGCAATACACTATTTCGTAAATATCGGTCACTGGGTTCGTATGTACAGTAGCCGTTGAGTATTCTGGACACAATGCCAAATATATGCTACTCTCCCTACTCCTGTAGAACCTAAAATTGGCACACTATACAGACCTCGTACAAAACAGTTAAGGTAAAGTCCATGAGCACTTGAATATCGGTGCTAACTAAATTCATCGTTACGAAGTTCGTCGAATGGTTCCAACCTCCAGCTCAGTCGACAAAACAGGCGTTATTGACATGAGCATAGCTATATTAAAAGTGAATCGTGTGTGCGAGAGCTATAGTTACATTAATTTAGCGACCGTTCTACGAAGATGAGCACAATGCATTCAGAAATATGAACAATGATTGTCACTGATGGTATGAATCCGCATTGTCATGTGTGGTATAGATACTGGGCGGAGCAAATGGTGCAGCAAAGATACATGTGATTGAACCACTCTCCGATCGTACAAGTCCGTATGTGAACGACAAAAGCCCGTGAATTCTAAGCGAGTGCAAGTGTAGTGATTTTCGTACTCGTGGAGTTGTGCTATTGTTATGTTGGCAAAAAAACAGCTACGCCGTAGTCAGTACTACCATTGCAACGAGGACTGTTGAGCTACTCACCCGCTTGGGTATTCATATCCCCTGTCGATAGCTAGATGCACGCTGTAGGTTTTGCGAACATCGAAAGGGTGTTAGCGTACCTTGAATGAAACTATTCCTATGAATAGAAATGATATGCATACTCCTGTTTGGAACATTATCCAGAAACAAGCCCACACTGAGCAACTTAATCAGCTTCATCCAATGGACCACCACGTAAAGCATCACCATGCGCAGATATTCGTGGAAACATAAGATTGAACTGCGTGCAGTCAGAATCATTCGCTTTTCGAAAGAACTTGTCATCTGTCAAGTCCCCTACAACGCATCAAGCGGATGGATGTTATATGAAAAGAATTGAAGCGTACAGATAACGTAGAATGTGCTAAAATCGCAATTTCCATTAGCTTGAGCTCACAGAAAAGACACAGCATCGATACATACTTCATGACGCCAACGAATAAGCAGTACCATCGAAGAGCTTGCCTGTTTAGGTTTCAGCACCAAGGCGATGCCATCGGACCGTCCCACTCACGCATGTCCGATAAACCAGAAGCCAACAAGTAGACCCTCGTAGAATAATGTGAGAAGAATGGTCCTACATCGGTGTCAGAGCATCCGTGGAAACGAGGTGGGATTCTTCGAGCTCACAGCTTGTCTCGCACAAGAACCAACGGAGTAACAAGCCCCAGGCCAAGGACAAAGCTCAGAATTTTGGCGACGAGAGAATCGAAGCCAGCCAGTATGAAGACGCCACCAAAAACGCTTGATCCCACATACCCTGCCGCGAGTATAATTGGTGGACGGCCACCCTCGACAATTGTTGCGCCTGTTATTGTGCTCGTTATAAAATGCGATTCGGCATCAAAATGAATCAGGCTTACCACCCAAATTTGGATCGATCGTGACCGACGATATGGTCCCTCCAGTCAGGATGGCCTGGACACCGAATGTCGTTGTTCAAACAGAAGTTGTGCCTGGCAGCAAGACAAACTCACCGCTACGATGTGGCAAAACTCATGCCACCCAATGGTAAAGAGTTTAAGTGGGTTAATTAGCGTCCGTGCAACTGGTATATTCCAGATTCCGAATATAACCACGGCATAAACAACGGTCTGTGGGTGAGTTCAAACTCATCATGTTATGGAAGAGTACACGGGGTTGAAAGACGTACAACATATAAAACGACTATCTGAGAAAGGTTAGCGCAGGTAAGCCATGCGGTACGTGTCACTTTAAGGCGTCATAAGAAATACACGAACCTGGTCGTGAGTTGGAGTAAGCGGTGGCGTTTGGGCCGCCTGGGTAGCAACGGGAACATCCCTCGGATACATGGGTTGGCAGAAAGCCTGCCGTATCGATCAAGGCTCTCCAGACACAAAAAATAGCAGAGGAACAAGAGATCAAGGACAGCACAAGGAGGCGTGAGCGCAAATTTTGAGAGTCGATTTCCTCGTGGACGCCTCAAGGCTTGAAGTACTCAGACTCAAGTCACAGCAAACCCTGCCTCTCTTAAGCAACGCTTCCGTAAAGGTCCAGTTTTCGTGGGAGAATGAAAGGCGCGTCAGTCACGTGTCACACACGAACGCGTTGATTGCAGTTTTGAGCGGAGTGCGAATCCAGTCCAATAAAGCCTAGGCACTCGGAAAGCTGCATAACCTGCCACACTTGCTTCTCCCCTCTACCACATCACAATTTTGTAGTAAACTGCTTGTTTGGTTCAGAAACATGGTGAGTATAGCTTTACAACACTTGAAGTTATCAGCTGAATGACTTTTACGCAGTCTGGAAAGGGAAAAGCGTAAGTTGCAATACCTGCCCCTGGGTAAGCGCAGGAAGCTCACATTCCCTCAATAGTGGAAAATCTTCATCTGGAAAGACCGGTAGCGATTCAAAAGCTCAATCGCGTTCATCAAAAGCCGGTCTCCAGTTCCCTGTCGGTCGTATTCACAGATTGTTGAAGAAAGGCAACTACGCACAGCGTGTTGGTGCTGGTGCCCCTGGTGCGTCGCATCTGTAATGTGATTGTTAATATTAGGCTGACAATTTCAATCGTTTAGTATACCTTGCTGCTGTCTTGGAGTATCTTGCTGCTGAGATTTTGGAGCTTGCTGGCAATGCTGCTCGTGATAACAAAGTCTGTGATATCCGTTCCTACCTCAAATGCAGTTGTTCAACCATAGACAGAAACAACGTATTGTTCCCCGTCACCTTCAGCTTGCTATTCGAAATGATGAAGAGTGAGTCATTATACTTGTGTGATAAATTGATACTTATGTGTTCATCAGGTTGAACAAACTGCTTGGTGATGTCATTATCAGCCAGGGTGGTGTTGTGCCATTTATCAACCCAGAACTTCTTCCCACAAAAACCAGCAAGGGCAAGAAGGAGGGTGCTTCACAGGAGGTCTAGAGCGCTGCGGAGATTTGTATTCCACATTTGTATCATTGTACTCGTTCGCCTTAATCTACACAATTGTACCATAGACATCGTAAATCTCGTGCGGTACTTCAGTTGGAGCCGCTACCGCACCCACGTCGAAGCGCACACAGTAGTTGTGACATAAGTTATATTGCAGGTCAAAAACATCCGTACATATCGAGGGCATATTGTCCAGTGGATCCGATTCATATATGCGAACATTTCAGCGAACCTCATGACCTGTTGACCACCTCATCTGTCGACCACCTCATCCTCTGCATCACTGGCCATAGTCCTCCTAGAGAAAGCGCCGCCCCTGCCAATCTTGCTTTTCCCATCTACAGCCCCTAGTATCGATCCTGGACGTGTTGTCCCACCAGAGAGTCTCTTGTAGTTCGGGGATGGAGGTGGAGACTTTGACATCGAACTCTTGTTCAAATTCGCCACCATGCTGCTCACACTCCCGCCACCAGCCGTTCTTGGGCCACGGGATATACGCGGACCGCGCACAACTGCTGCCTGTCCAGAGGAATGCCTCGACAACCCAGTTCTTCCGGTGCTCAGAATCTGATCTTCTGCTGGAATAGCAGGCGTGGCAGATGAAGCGAGGGGAGACGGACTACGCGCTGGCGATGCACTGCCAGAGCGTATGGCTGAGTTGCGCCTGAGTGCCTTGATTGGGTTGTGGGGTGTAGCAGGCGTCACGGACACTGCAGGCGAGGGTGCCTTCTCGTCCATCATAGGCGGTGGCGAAGCAGGTGGAGAAACAAAGGACGTAGGCTGCATGCTAGGGCTAGGGATATCATCAATTTCCGGGGGCGGTTCCTTGAATGTAGGCCTGGGGGGTTCGTCGAACTCAGGGGGTGGCTCTTTGAACTCTGGACGCTGGGGCGTGGAGTCGTGTTCAACAACAGGGGGAGAGATGATGGATTGTTCAGTACGATCAAATTGCTCACGTTCCTCGACGACTGCGTCAGACACTTCTGGTTCAGTGTCGAAGCTCTTCGACTCTGAGATCGGTGAGGCGTCGACAGCGGCACGTGGAGCTTCTGGAACTCGTTCAGGGACTGTCGCATCCGGTACCTGAGCAGCAACTCTCTGTGCTGCTTGCTGAGCAGCTAAGATCTCCCGAGATGGAGCACCGACAGAGATTCTGCCTCGGCTCATACGCATGTCAACAGGTGCTGTGCGCTTCCGGATCGGGATGCGTCGCTCGGACTCCCGCTTCTTCCTAGCGATAGTAGGGGGGAGAATATCATCGTAGTTCTTAAGCAGATCGATGAACAAAACTAAACAACCTAGAGTATGAAATGATGGACGTAATGAATGGAATAAGCACTTACGCGTAGGGTGGCGGTCCTGGATGGACAGCTCCGTCTCCACTTTGGGTTTGATGATCGCTGTTAATTTGGGTCAGTTTTGTAATGTAATTTGCGTCACTAGGAACGTACTGCGGCCGATTGACAGAGCCAGCTTCGTGAAGTAGGTGTCATCTGGTTCCTCTACACTTGTCGATTCAATCAAACTACAGCGCAACTCAGCAATTTATCTGAAACCATGTGCAGTAGGCGTACTTTCTGAGATGAGAGACAATAGCATCTAGGACATAAAGATGGACCTTCGGCAGACGCTGAAGAGCCACTTGCAAGTCCTGGAGGTGTTGTTCTTCCGAAACATCGCCATCGGCCTTCGCAGACCCAACTACCCTGATTATTAGTCTTTAAAGTCGCTGGTACATGTATCAACTTACCTGTAGGATAGAGTTTCCTGATGTCATCCCATCCCTCCCAAAGAGCGAGGGGCGGATCAAGCTCAAGAGCCCATAGCTTGATACCACCTGCGAGCACAGGAGCATCATATTTGGTAAGCATCTCAAGCGAGAAAGGCTGCCCGGGGGGGACGGCATTAAGAGCCTCTCTAAGGTGATGCAACGCAGGAAGCGGAACTTCGTAAATCCAGGCTTTTCGTTTTTCTGGACAGGAATCTCACGCTCTGCATGATTTTGCACAACAGATTCCACTCACCTGAGTCATTTGGTAGACGGTCATATGTCTCGTTCAACGCATTGAGCAAGGCGGTTAGCACTGGCGGGATCAGGTCCTTCTTCTCCTCGCCAGAGGTAAGTGCATTCCAACCACCCTCAGCCCACTTACGCAAGTCAATGCCAAAGACTACATCTGACTCATCGTGCGCAACAGACTCGTACAGCTGCGGGACCGGTCTGAAAGGACCGGTGCGGTAACGTTCCATGAGCGCGGTTAAATCTGCGTCGGGCTGGTATGAGGCGACCAAAGTGGCAGAACGTTCAATGGATGGTTCGAATGCCTTGGGTATGGTGGCCAAGGTCCCTTGGTATTGAAGTAGCACTGCAACGGCTTAAATTCATGTCCTCGACGTGTGATTCACGAGGGCTTACCTGTCTTGACGGCCCTCAGCCTCTCCATCTCACCTCTCTGGAGGTTTTTCAAGGTTTCCTCAATACGTTCCTCAAGACCAAGCCTCTGTCTGTCAAGTTTTCTGACAGCGACACGATAGATTTTGTCGGCCTCTTCGGCCTCCACACGAAGCCTGATATGAGCGGGCTCAGTCTGCGCATTGGAGTTCAAGGCCTTTGTAACGACGTTCACGAAATTGTTCGAGCGCTTGATCAGGCTATCAGCCAGAGGTGTAAGGTTACGCTTCGGCGCGGATGATGCAGCTTCTGTTTCGGATCCAAGCTCGAAAGCCTGGTGGCATAAATGAGCGCTTCAACCATCGTCATATCGAATCAAAACCCACCTTTGGTCGGAACTGATAATATGCTTCATCAGAATGCTCAAACTCATTGCCAAACTCGCCAATCCGACGAAGGAGACCGTCTCTTTCTGTCAACTCCCTTGCAGCGTCTTCAGCCCGATCGAGATTGCCATCAAAGCCTGGTATATTGGCGTTCAACCAAGCAACAAATTCTTCACCCGTGAAGCAATCTGGATATTCTCCCAGTAAGGGGAACTTGATGGACCGTGGCTTCAGCTCAGTGGCAGCTCGTAAAAGCAATGTAGAAACGGTAGCCGGGGGTATTGCCAGACCTGCCAACAGAATGGGCGTAGGAGGCAGGGGTGCCTCCATGCTTAATGGTGACGTAGTTTCCAACTTTGCAGGAGGTAAGGGAGGCAACAACGGTGGCGGAGATTCCATTATTCCAGGCGACGGTGACTCTACTGCCTTCATTTTGCCTTTGTCCACTTTTGTGAAAGCCTTCTCTTCTGATGTCTCGCTTGCTGCATCAGATTCCAAACCTGAATTCGAGGTACCAGCAGCCTTGCGCTGGATCTCCTTGAAGCGCTGTGCAATGCGTTCAGACACCGTAGCCGAACGCTGTGGGTGTGTGGTCTTGTCGCGTGGCAAAAGTCGCGGAGAGCTTGTGTAATGATCCCCTAGATCATTGTTAGGTGCAAACCTCGCGCTTATTGAGAACGTGGTATCAGGTTTGGTGGGTAGAAATAGGACAGAAAAGTGCTCACTCATCCTCTGCCTCATCTGCCCGATGTGTCTTTTGCAGATAAGAGTTCTTTAGTTTAATAACCTGAGCAATTTGGATGAGGATCTCGTGTTCATGATCTGCGCTATGTTTTGCCGACACGCACCTCTTTTTGTGAATCTTCATAGGCACGCAGCCAGTTGTTCATAACCATAGCTTTGCTGGAAGAAAGACGCTCCTGCAAAGGAATGAGATCAAGAGTGGACAATACGGCATGTCTGCATATTTACCTCGTATCCCTGAGCCCATTCACTAAATGGATCAGCTACTAGAGCCCGTAGGTCGTTGGAAATGTCTTTGTGAACTTGACCCTGTTTTTCAGACTCTGCCTGAAGTCCACGGAAAGCCATCAACAACGAAGCTCCATCGTCCCTGTTAAAGCCGGCGCCTACAGCAGGTTAGCCTGCGGTTTCAGCAGAGAGGTCACATATACCGACCATGCGATCCAATTGCTACAGGGTGTTGCAATGATGTTGCAATTTGAGCCTCAGCGGCTGCACGAGCCTGCAATATCTTTCGTTTCAAGACTCATCTGAAGTATCGCGAAGGAACTCACTCTTATGAATGCAACAATGTCATTGTTCTCTACTACACCCTGAAATTTTCAAGATATGAGACAAATGCCCTAAGTAAGAGATGCATTCTTACCTGTTCAAGCTTACTGTACAAAATCTCCAAGCCTTTCCGATAGTCCTGAGTCCAGAACGAGTTAGTGAATGTTAACGGCAGGGATAGTACTGCCATGAATGAATATTGGGCACTCTAAACAGTACTCTGAGTATGTCCAAGAAATAGTCTTGAGTGAAATGATGTTCAGGCAGCACCGTGACTGCTCCAAGTTTTGGGCACGAGTGCTTGACAACACTTGTAGGTGCGTTTCAGGGCTTTCAGGCAGTCACAATATTTCCACGTGGCGGACATATCGGGTAGCTGGAAAGACCGCTTGGCTGAAGATGTAAACGTTTCATTTCTCCTGCGGCTATTGCCCAAACATTTACAATTGCATTTAAAAGCAACATATTAAGCTCCTGAGATGCATATCCAGCTAGGCTTCACAGCGAGTAAAATTTTACAAAAAGATGAGATGATCTTGCAGGGGTACCGTGCTTGCGGAGTTTGCCGAAATGACATTGGACTAATTTTTGGTTTGAGCAAGCTTGAGCGGAAACAAGTCCAACGGGGTCATCATAAGACGACGGCTCGAGTGTCGAACACGACTCATCCTGTGTCAATTTCCGCCAATGGGTCATGTCTCAAAACGCCTTTATTCCTCGGCTTCAAAGCTAGCTGTTTCTACTTCACAACTGAAGCAGTTTCCGCCAAAAGAGGCCATCCTCACACCTGACTCTGGCAAACCAAATTTCTTTGACCCGGAGTTATGGGCAACTCTCCAACCGCCACCTACGTCTGCTCTAACCGCGTTTGCTCACCGAATAGGTCTTGCAAACGTGTTGTCGTCAGCAGATGTAGTCCGACGCGCTTGCACACACAAGTCGTTCCTCAATCTTCATGCTAAATATTACCCTGCAAGCCCTACACCCCCAACAAACGCAAATCTTGCGACGCTAGGAAATTCATTGATGGGACTATTTGCATCTGAACATCTTCATGCCGCATACCCGCATTTGCCGACTCGCGTTTTAAAGGCTGCAGTTAGTGCTCACGTTGGTCCATTAACATGCGCGAGTGTCGCTCAGGAAATGGGTGCAGCACCCCTACTACGGTGGCATAGACAGGTAGAGTATTAATGTTTAAAGTATAAGCTGTTTGTCACTGATCGAACATTTTAGCCTACGACACCAATGTCTCCAGCACTGTTGCACTCGGATGCATTAGCATCAATACCGAGGGCAATAACTGCCCTCGTTTACCAGGAAATATCAATCCAATCTGCACGGAAATTTGTCCAGTCGTTTTTCTTGAGTAGGCAGGTTGACCTGCGGAGCATGATCAGATTCCGTGACCCAAAGCGAGCCCTTATAGAAACTGTGGAAAAATTCGGTCGTGAACGTCCAAAATCTAGGTGTGCTGCCCGGATATAGTGTTTGTATCTCACTGACTTGAAGAGTATTTATCGTACAGATTACTGAAGGAGACTGGTCGTTATTCGAATTCGCCCGTATTTGTAGTGGGTATTTTTTCTGGACAAGACAAGCTTGGCGAGGGTTTTGGTAGTTCGTTAAAGATGGCAGAATACCGGGTAAGCAACGTCCAGGTATACCTGTCTATGATGATCTTACTTCAGGTGCTATAGGCGGCCGAAGACTCGCTACACCGGCTATACCTTACTCGGACGCCAAACCACCTTCTCCAAGTCCCTTCATCGACATTCCCTTCCAAGCAGTGTAGTATCTACAAGACTGGATCAGAAGCACCATACACCCCCGGGGCGCTCGGTGAGGCTGAAATTTTGTATGCGAGCTCAGGGCGCAGCAATATCGTCGCTCCCAAGCGACCGACACTAGAGGAGATAGAGGCGAAACGAGAGAGTCTGGATGTATAGTACACAATCTTGCTTAATTCACACAGTTTACTCTTGAAGTTTTAAGAGCGATACGAAGACCCCATACAAGAAGGAATTATTACATTCCTTCTATAGGACTGACCAGCGAAGTCGACATGCCAACACTCATCCTGCATAACTTACGTCAACCTGCACTTGGCCTAGACAGCTAATTTAACCGTGCTAGAATTCCATGGAAAATGTTTCTGTTGTTCAAGATGCTTTCGTGTCCAGGATTGAGATTTCAAACGCCTCTGTCCTCTCCACACATCTGTGTCATAATACCTGTTCTAGAGGTATCTCCATTGCCGTAGTATGAACTGTCCAACTACTAATAAGCTTATTTGGAAATGTCTTTCAAGGAGTTTGTGCAACTGGACACCCCACTCTCCTGCAGTAAACCGTCTATTTTCTTCTCTATCTGTATTGATCGAGCAGCTCAAGGGCAACCCAGCATTGATGCGCGACAACATGAGCAGGTCTCAAGATCTCATGGCCGAAGACCTACATTGATCAGACTGTGATGTAAGTATTCTCAGATGCAGAAGTCTTCTGAAATATGTGGACCACATTCGCGTCTGAATCGATAGTTTGCATGACGAGTGCGCGATGAGTAAAGTGTGGCAAGTAGAAGGGAGATTGATTATCATGTAATGCTGGAAACTCGCTGGGAGGACAGGACAAAGTTATGATTCTCCTAAGCGTCATACAGATGAGCACGTAGTCGTAGGTAATTGAGAGACCCGAGTCCCTCGCCCGGCTTGCTGTGATATAGAGGGAACGTTGCACGTGATTCATGATATTGTAAGTAGATGGTAAGCGTCCAGCTTACAAATAACTGCTGGTGTTTCGATAGAATGAAGTCCGAGAGTCGTCCTTTCCATATTCTGGTCCACTGCAGGACACATGCATTGACAGGTGACGTGGTTGAGAACAAGTCAGTAATTTATCACTAAAGTTCGCGTGCTTGTTGATCCACACGCGATAACGTGACACAGCCTAGAGGTCTCATGGCCAAGCGGGCTTCGACGATCCGTATTGCCCGGGCCGTGATATAACTACTACTTCGCCTGTGGGAGTCCTTCAAGATATACCTTGTTGAGCATGTCTGCCATGGACAAGAAAACAAACGAGTTCCTACCTGGTGTCTTGCCACCGCGTACCGCCAGGACGTTGTTAAGCGGCAGGATAGTGGCACGAAGGATGGGTCTGGTGGTACTGGCTGCTGTATTCGCATCCACTTTTATATGGATGCTACCATATGGCATTGTGCCGTACTACCCCTACCAGGAAGTCAATGCAGATATCTGCCCCCAGGTGTCTGAACTTATCCCAAAGTCTAACGGTGCTTTGTGGAAGACTTTGGGCGACACCTATGAAACAGATGCATTCAAAATGAGAGCGGTGGACTGGCTTGCAGGGGCTGTTAGAATCCCGTGAGCTTATCATTCACATCGTGAGCCTCACCAGAGAACTCACCGGTACTAAGAACAGAATCCTATGATCAGATGGGTCCTGTCGGGACTGACCCACGCTGGGAGAAATTCGGTGCTTTTCACGACTATCTGTTGAAGGCATTCCCACTGGTGTAGGTGTGCTTCTAGTTTATTGTGTCTAGACTGACTATCCCTGTAATTGTACAGTCATGCTTCCCTTGAGGTGACGAAAGTCAATACGTATGGCCTGATATATGTATGGAAAGGAACGAGCGGCTCTCTAAAGCCTCTCTTGCTTGCAGCCCATCAAGGTGAGCTGAGTACCCTTCTTACGTGGCGAGTCCCTGGAATTTTTGTGATTTAGATGTTGTTCCCGTGGAAGAGACCACAATTGACCAATGGCAGTATCCACCTTTTTCTGGGTACTTCGACGGTCCGAGTATTCTATTACAATCTATCTGATAACTTCTGATGGGCATGATAGGTGAACGGATATGGGGACGCGGTTCGCAAGATGACAAAAGCGGGCTGATAGGTGAGCTATTCACAAGTTATGCGCTTGACGTTTGGCTGATGATGGATGCACAGGCATCATGTATAATATATCTTATATCCTTTCTTTCACTCTAACTTAGATCTTACGTTAGGTCCGCCATGGAGAATATGTTGGAGAACAAGTTTCAGCCAACCCGAACCATAGTTTTGGCATCCGGGTTCGACGAGGAGACCAGCGGCCTCCACGTAAGGACATCAATTCACAGTTTGAACACTAGGCTGAACCATCGACAGGGCGCTCAAACGTTGGCACCAGTGTTACTGGAGATGTTCGGTGAAAACGGTTATGCTATGCTAGTAGATGAAGGCTGTAAGATGATGCTTTCTTTGCCATCAGCTAGACATTCTTAACTGGCATTATTTCGGGTTACAGCTGGATATGGCGAACAGTTTGGTCGAGTCATCGCAACTCCCGGAATTTCTGAGAAAGGGTATTTGGACGTGATGATAAATGTTGCATCTCCTGGTGGACACTCGAGTCTTCCACCGTATCACACTGTAGGTCTTCACTCTAGAACTAATGACCGGGCGCTCATGTCAGCATAGAGCATTGGCATATTGGCGGACATGCTCGTTAATATTGAGAGAAATCCGTTTGGGGTTCATCTTGTAAGTTCTGGAACACCGATAGGGCAATATAATAACTCTCGCTCAAATCTCGCAGGAAAGAGGTTCACCGACGTATAAGATTGCACAATGTCTTATCCACACACCTGACCTTCCTGCATCGCTACGAAGAGACATCATTCACGCAGAACATAATGAACTTGCTCTTCGCCGCGCCGAGCAGGAACTTTTCAAGAACCCGATGTTCAAAAGTCTCGTTGGAACCACTCAAGCCATTGATCTCATTCACGGAGGGGTAAAAGTCAATGCCCTGCCAGAGCAAGCTTGGGCTGTAGTGAACCATCGCATTTCGACGCAGAGGTTGGTGATTAATCAATATCGCACAAATGCATGCTAACATCGAGTCTAGTTCCGTCACTGCAACGAAAACGCATGACACTGAGTTGCTCATATCGCTAGCAAGTCAATTTAACCTATCATATACCGCCTTCGGTGCTAGGATAACTGATGCTGATGCTCCTGCGTTCGGCACCTTGACACTATCCGAAGCTTATACGCACGGACTTGAGCCTGCTCCAGTCTCACCCACTGGACATGACGCCTTGCCTTACCGATTGTTATCTGGCACTATCAGGGCTGCATATAACTCTCACAGAGGTCTTACAAATGACGATAGCTTGATTATCAGTCCTGGAATCATGTCAGGCAACACAGGTCAGTGATATCTGTCTGGCCATCATCATGTGATCCTCACACCCCTGACAGACACGAGGTACTATTGGAAGCTGACCGAACACATCTTCCGCTATGGCCACACAGATGGTGCTACAGGTGGAAGCATCATTTCTGGAGTACACACCGTCAATGAGGGTGAGACTTGATTTTTCCCTCTAACGACATATTTGACGCAAGGTTCCATGACAGCCATTAAGATCAGCAACTTCGTTGAAATGATTCGATTCTTCACCACACTTATTCTCAATGTTGATGAATCGGAGTTACCCTGAGAGAGAATTTCTGTATTTTAGTATCGCTACAAACGTTAAGATGCGGTGCCCTTTGCATGGCTGTATCGGGGAATATTGAAATATATATAAGGCGTAGCGCGAATAGTCGAGGTTTGGCGTCACCGGGTGTGTGAGAACTTAGTTTGTTTGGCGTCCGAGTCCTACGCCTTTCCTCGCAATTATTCTGAAAGTCTACGCAATATGTTTTATGCGGCGGAAAAGAATAAGCTTTACAGACATGCGGTCTATGGATTATATAGCGGCGAGACTCGTGACCCACCCTCTGACATATGTCGATATTAATGGACACCCAAAGCGGCCCGTAAAACGGTGGGTTATCAGTCTTGTCTATCATATATCAGTTTCCAGCTTGCCAAGAGTGAGAATCTTCCATGCTTCTGCCGCATAACATGTCCCAAGCTAACTTGAACCCAGTCGAAAAGAAACTTGAAGCTGACGAGCTTCCAGGCGTTAATACCCGCACATCCACCGTGACTACGAAGCTTTCGAAGGCCAAGGCATTCGTATTCAAGGTCACGCTCGTCGCTGCACTCGCAATCTCTGCTTCAACATACTTCGTCAAAAGACTTTCAAACAGTTACCCTGTCGGCATCCTCGAGGATGGCCTAAATTTGTGTCCTCAGGTGGATGAACTTGTTCCAGAGAAGAATGGAGTGATCTGGGAGAGTCTTCAACGAGTGTACAACACTGAGGAGTTCAAAGCGAGAGCTGTAGATTGGCTTGGGGGAGCTGTGCGAATTCCGTGCGTTTGTTTCGCCTGCGATATCCTGAACATCTGATCTAATACAGCCCCCATAAAGCACAGAAACGTTCGATGATATGGGAGATGTGACAGAGCCCGTTTGGGAGAAATTCCTCCCATTACATGATTATCTGAAAGATTCATTCCCTTTACTGTGAGTACTTTTCTGCACTGTGCCATTGTCCAATTGCCCAGTTTACATCATGTGTCAGTCACTTGAACTTGGAACTTACGAAAGTCAACACATACGGACTGTTATACGTGTGGAAAGGCTCAGACAGTGCTTTGAAGCCACTCCTCCTTGCTGCTCACCAGGGCAAGTTCATTTGTGCATCATAAATATCTATAGACTGATAACGCATTGGCCACTAGACGTGGTCCCTGTCTTAGAAACGACAATCAATGAATGGCAGCATCCTCCATTCTCCGGTTACTTTGATGGTCCGTATAATAGTTTTTACGTGTAGCATGTTTTTACCTGATACCTTGCCAGGGGAAACCCTTTGGGGTCGCGGGTCGTGCGATGATAAGAGCGGTCTAATTGGTAGTTAACGTTCCAACATCTAGTTCTATTCCTGAACTCATTGATTGCGTCTAGGGATCATGTCTGTGCCCTTATGACATTCAAGAAAAGTATACTGATTGCCGCAGGTCTGCGATTGAATCTATGCTAGAGAACGGCTTCAAGCCGACTCGCACGGTTGTGATCGCGTCAGGATTTGATGAAGAAGTAAGTGGATTGCGGGTAAGTTGCTCAAACTCTGCATAGCTATATCAGCACGTTAATATTGAATGCCGGTTCAAGGGTGCGTCTTCCCTAGCCACGGAAATGCTAGAGAGATTTGGAGAAAACGCCTTTACCATGCTTCTCGATGAAGGCGGTGAGTTATTGTTCCACCCACTAACACGATAGGTAACGGTGATCTGGTTGACAGCTGGGTACAGCGAGGTATATGGTCGTGTTATTGCAGTACCTGCAATTGCCGAGAAAGGTAGCTTGAACGTCCAGATCAAAGTTACATCTCCTGGTGGCCATTCCAGTCTTCCTCCACCTCATACGGTGAGCTCTCTCATACTCAAATCTTCACCAATTGATTCTGATTTTCCAAGAGCATCGGTATACTTGCAGAGCTCCTTGTACAGTATGAGAAAAACCCCTTCGAGGCCCACTTGGTGAGCTTTAAGAGACTGAATATAATGATGCACTGATAATTTTCCGGCAGACAAGAGGATCCCCGACTTACAAGAACGCTCAATGTATGGCTCAACACGCACCAGGCATCAGTCCCTCGTTAAAGGAACACATGTCACGTGCAGAGCATTGTGATGGAGCACTTCGTGCTGCTGAGCAGGAACTCTTTAAGAACCGTGCTTTCATGAGTCTTGTCGGTACTACTCAAGCTATCGATCTCGTGGACGGTGGAGTGAAAGTAAATGCTCTCCCAGAGCAGGCATGGGCCATTGTAAATCACCGCATTTCTACAGAAAGGTGGGGCTTTTGATGCAAATGAGTATCGTCGTTAATAGGTCCAATCTTATTTGTAGTTCTCTTGCCACCACAAAAGTGCGCGACATTGAATTATTGAAATCGCTCGCCAATCACTTCAATCTTTCTTACATGGCCTTTGATAGCCATATTTCCGAAGCAGATGCACCATCATATGGCACCTTGACCCTCTCCACTGCATTTGGTGACGGCTTGGAGCCAGCACCAGTCACTCCATCTGGTGAAGAGGCTGCACCGTTTCGGCTTTTATCTGGGACCATCAAGGCAGCCTACAACTCTCATAGAAATACATCAGGTTCAGATGCTATCATCGTAAGCCCAGGTATCATGTCCGGTAACACAGGTGGGGTTTTGAGCATGCATCGTACTAGCTTTGGTAAACATTTGGAATACAGATACACGGTTCTATTGGAAGTTGACTGACCATATTTTCCGATATGGTCACCTTGAGGCAGCTGGTGGAGGGTCTCTTCCTTCTGGCGTGCACACAGTCAATGAAGGTGCAATATTTTAGACTGGTTTCTCAGTAACCGAATGGCTGACTGTTCTCTAGCGATTTCCATCAATAACTTCGTTGAGGTTATCCGATTCTACACCACTTTGGTTCTCAACGTAGACGAATCATCCCTTCCTTAAGTAAGCCTCAAGTTGTATGTCAAAATATCATATGGAGGTTTTCCATGTGATACACGTCACTGTGATCGTACAGCTACAGCTCAGCAACGAGCAATTTCATTACTTGCAGACTTCTGATATATCCGAGGTTTGAGCTCTAATAGAGCGGTTAAGAACGACATGATAATCGGGCTCACGAGTCTAGAGCGTTTGGACTCACAAAAATGAATCTTCGAGGTCTTCATGTGTTTCTGCTGATGCTTGCACTGTACTATCCCAATGAGTCGCCCTTGTTATAGATTCCAGTCTCTCCTGGGTGCAATCATACTCATATTCACGGTACGTGACAACTCTCAACACCCCGAAATTCGTTATACAAGGTATATTTATACATGACCATGATATCGATGCAAGTTATTCAGCTAGTTCTTGGAAGACATCGATCGAGGCTTGTACTGGTTAGTACTCAATGATTGGCCCGACATGGCTGGGAGTAATAGCAGGGTACGATTTACAATTTACAAATTCATTTCCGTCCTTGAGATCTAGGAAATTGCAGTCGACTATATGCGGGAGCCATAAACATCTTGTGGCCCAACACCAGCCTGGCCCTTGCGAGCATTGGCCTGACCCCACCTTGAAAAGATAAGTGAGCAGGTTGTGATGAGATCAGCTGAATATATACTTTTTGATGCGAATGCTTTCGATCTGGATGAAGCCTGTCGTGTCTGTTGGCTCGAACCCACCGAGCTCGTCCATGGAAGATTCGTGCTCATCATAGAGACCCTGAAAAGCGGGTAAGACAACATGAAAGTAAGTTATGAATCAAATTCGTTACCTCATCGGAGTAGCGACCGATAACAACGACATTACCCTTGTAGAGTTTCAAGCGTACTGTTCCGTTGACGGTGCGCTGGCTCGCGGGGATGGCGCTAGTTACGAACTCGCGCTCAGGGGTGAAGAAGTGGCCATTGTAAAGAATACGGGCCAGTTCGATAGTAATGAACTGATCGCGAAGAGCACGAACATTGCGGTCGAGCGTAAGACCTTCAATGTCCATATGTGCGACACGTAAAATAGTCGCTGCAGGCGACTCATAACAACCACGAGACTTGACGCCGATAAATCGGTTTTCGACGATGTCGATACGGCCGACACCATGCTTCCTCGCGACAGCATTGAGTGCGAGGAAAATGTCGACGGGATCAGTGAGAGGGGCCTGGTTTGCAATCACAACCTTTACGGGAAGACCAGCTTTGAACTCGATCGATAGTGGCTCAGGCTCCTGTGGTGCATCTTGGAGGGACGAAGTGAGTTTCCACATGTCATCGGGAGGTGTGGTGTTTGGATCCTCGAGGATTCCTGCCTCATAGGAGATATGGAACAGATTCTCGTCGGTTGACCATGGCTTTGCGGCAGTTTGTTGCACGGGAATTCCCTTCTCCGCCGCATATGCAAGAAGTGCTTGTCGGCCAGGGAAACGGTTGTAAAACTCTGGATGTTAGGGATTAGAAAAGAACTTTATCGGTTCGGAAAATTGGATCACCAGGAAGCCTCCAAGGAGCGATGACCTTGATGTCTGGCTTGAGACCATAGAAAGCAAGTTCAAAGCGAACCTGATCATTCCCTTTGCCTGTGCAGCCATGTGATACATAGCTGTTAGAAGATCGCTGAGCGCAGGTGAGTGAAAGATGAAGACGAGGCTTACTCGCAACCCTCTCTGTCTGCAACGGATATCATACCGCGAGCGATAACAGGACGGGCGAGAGAAGTTCCAAGTAGATATACATTCTGGGATCGCGATCAGCTCGTGATGACTGCCGAGATGATGGCACTTACTTCGTAGATGCAGTTTGCTTGTACAGCAGGGTAGATTAAGTGGGTCACAAATTCACGCTTCAGGTCCTGTTGGTTTCTGAGTGACAAGCTCTGCAAGGTTGATAGAAGAGATATTTCAAACCTCCAAGAAAAATTTCTTTGCACCAACGCTGAGTGCCTTCTTTCTAGCTGCTTCGAAATCCTGCACAAACAGTCAGTGATCAGTAGCGTATTACAGAGGATATTGGCACCTCCTCTTGACCGACGTCGGCCATGAAGGCGTAAACCTCATAGCCCTCCTCGATCAGCCATGCCAAGATGCATGAAGTGTCTGCAGATCTTGATATTTAACGATGATCTTCCATCGCGTAGATCAACTTACCAAGACCACCAGAGTATGCTAGCAAAACACGACC